TAATGTGATGGACGTAGCAAAACAGTAGCTAATGGAACGGAGTGGCTAAAATCACATTCGGAGGATTTCGTGAAGATCACCATCATTGTGCAGTCCAAATAATGGACGCCTTTTGCTGCCACGTGCGCCACAGCAAATAAACGTTATCGTCCCGATAATCGTACGCGCGTGTAAAATATTAACGACAGGATCGCGAGGGTTGAGCAAATTAGCGCACGCACGTCGAAACGATAAAAATGATTAGCGCACGGATTTCTTTTTTGTCACACGAAGTCTGATCGAGAGCAATTTCGCGGGGTACAGGGTTAACGGGAGAGAGAGAGAGAGAGAGAGAGAGAGGGAGAGTGTGTGTATTTTCACGAGCCGCTCTTCTGTTGGAGAGATCGAGAGCACCGTTTCCAGTGCGATAAAACTTTCATCGAGAACCGGGAATTTTGCCCGCGTTATCGGCGATAATTTCGTCGCAATAACTCGCCTGCGAACGAGAGAGCGCGGCGAGGACGCAAGGAAAACCATGTCTAATGGGGGCCGTAAAGGTAAAATCGCACGTTTCGCGCGATGTCCATTATCGTTCTCCACTGACCTCGATATCGCGCTTTTCATTTCGCGCACGTTTCAGGCAAGCGCAGGTAATTTCACCCGAGTATACGAGATGCTTCTCTTATTAACCATTAAAACATTAAGCCACTCTTAGGGTCCCGTGTCGCGAGACATTCAGTGCCCAGCGTTTCCTGAAACATGCCAAGTTTAATCGAGATCGTTCGCGTGATTCGTCGAGTTTATCGTGTCAAAAAAGACGATGCGGTGAGACTTGCCGTCTCTCTCGTGTGTAACGCAATCACATCGCTTCGCCGGATAACCCTCGAGTGCCCTTTAGAAAGATGTCCCAACCCCGAGGAGCGTCTTTATATTTAGCAATTTAATTTTAACCGGGACCTTCCGAGCCGATAGACTTGATTTTTCTCGAGTCGAAATGTTGGCCCTATGTTAAACATTTAATTCCACAACATAGTAGGATCAAAGACAGCAAAATAGAAGGTTCAATTTGAATTCTAATGGTATGACATAATCCCTATTTTGAACTCGATGATGTCTGTGTAAATTTTTGTTTTCGCTGTTTCATTTAAGTAGACGCAAATTATCCTTAAAAACGTCAGAATAGCATGAAAATTTTGACTCGCGGGAATTTTCACATAAACGTCCTCCCTGTCGCCAAGTTTCGCTGCAACACCTGCGATCCACCGTTGGTACTTTCTCGCCGATGGATCTACCGTGCGCGGAAAGAGGGGATCCTGTCTCTCCGTCTCAAACGTTGTCAATTTGGATCGAGAAATTCCTCCGATTCTTTCTTTTTCTTTGCGTAATCGTCTCACGGAGAAACAATGTGACGGCATCGCCGTGTCTCCCGATGGTGTGCTCTTATCTCGTTTTGTAGGTCGCATCGCGGCGACACTTCGCGAACTCTCAACGCTCCTTGACTGGATCGCACCGCGGCCAACGCGGTAGATTTCTTCCGATATTCGCGTAGATCCTGAATCCACCCCGAGTTTTCATATTTTCATAAGTCACGTCGTCAGCGGAGAAACGTCCCCGTGCGACGCGACTTTGTTGTTACGTGACTCTCGTGCTTCCCTCGGGGGAAACTCGCGTTCAACGATCAGTGCTAGCGATTCGTTAAAACGGAGAGGGAGGAAAAAAGGAAAGAGAGAGGAGAGAAACGATTTTAAATGCGCGCAGCTCTCCTTTCGATATTAATGCTTCGCGGGAAATTAACGCGGCACGTTTTACGCGCTTCGCCTATTCGCCTTGCACGCACATTACGTAAGTTATATAGCGTGTTGTCTATATGGGCAAACTGTAAATACAAATATAGTAAGTACAAATATATATACGCACTATTTCTTTTTCTCTCTATCTGTTGCCATAATCCCTAAAACTTCCGATTTAACTCTTTCGAAACTCCATTTTCTGGCGTCAGTCCAGTCGTGTTGCCGACTTAACGTTTAGGAATCCTTTTAAGTCCGCTTCGTTGTAACGTTGTTGGCGAGACAACGAAGGGAGTTGGAACAATCGCGAGAAATTAGAATAATGCCTCTTGCGAGAGTTGCATATTACCGGAAACGAGTATCACGACGCGATTGTGGGGGCTCAGATTGAGAACAAGGATGGCTTATGAAAATGGAGAATAAGAGAGCGAGAGAGGTCGTAGATTCATTCGTGAATCGTTATTTCATGGAAACATTAGCGACATTAACATTAATCGACAAAGTTTGAGAGAAAGGGAAGAGAAATGATGAGGATAGGCACGATGCCCTGGAAGCGCTCTTTGAAGCGTCGATGATCGCCGGTCACGACTCGATATTATTGTCGTTTTGTAAAACAAGTTTTCGATTATGAGCGAATGAAAGGCCCGGCCGTCTAATTGTGCCGTACGAATCGCTAATTACTGATAAGGCCGTGATAGGAACGTATTGTGCGAGCCGCGGCATAGTGCAGTATCTCCTGTTGCATAGTTAATTGCGATAGACAAGCTCGGCACATTCGATCGAGCATTGTTACGAGAAATTTCGATAGACAAGTTCGTGTCTGGCGGTATAAAGCGCACGAAGGATCGGAGGATAGGTTTTGACTGAGATGGCCGATTAAATAAATAGCGACTTAATTACACATGAATCGACGATTCGAACGACGAGTGAAGTTACGAAATTCTCCTTCTTCCCTCGTTGGGCGGGAAAGAAAGTGGACGATAATTCGCCAAATAAAGCGCAACCGAACGACAACTCCGAGCAGGTTCGCAAATCGATAATAAAAATCGGACTTTGCGCGCAAACGAACTCGAAATAACGAAGTGGCCTTCGCGACACGCAATCTATTTCGGTTCCTGAAACGCCAGCGTGTAATTTTCCTGGAGGCAATTTTGCACCGCTAATTTACGGGCTGAGCTTCACCGGATAACATCCAACGATCTAATTATCCGGCGCGAGTTCCTAATTACCGATCGCGCCGCGATAGCGATCGATCCTTACATTGTGCTTAACCATTGCGGTTGTAACACGCAGCACCTTTGGTAACCGATACGATCCGATAACACTGTCCACGCGACCGGCATTTTGTATAACAAGTTATAACAACAGCAGATTCGCGCCGTTCTTCTTCGTGAGACACGAGCGACAAGCGTTGCTGTCTTCCGCAAACGACGTCTTTGCGCGCGTACCTCATTAAATAGTTCATTGCTCGTAGTTATGCAAGAAAGTTCCAACCCATAAAATTATGATTTTTCAGATTCAATGGATCTATACATCTTTTTTGCATAACTATGGCCAATTAACATCTATTCGCTGTGTCACATTGTGTTCCTCTCTCTCTCTCTCTCTCGTCTTCTTTACCGAAAGAGAGACAACTCACTCATTCTCCTCGATCGTTCAGTCCTGTTTCAACGTTTGACGAAATTTCTTCCCTACCTGATGACTATACGTGTGTCACGTATGCCTTTTGATACGTTGCCTGTCAGTCTTCTCGCAATTTGCCACGATGCATAATGCACTTTTATCTAAAATCGATACAAAGTGCGGGTTGTTCTTCAGTCGGCAGACTTGGCGTCGATGTTAGTTAAGCGATGTACGTGTTCGCGAAATAACGAAGCTAACGATTTCGATAATAAGCTCGATAAACGCACGGGCTATATTTGCGATTCGCAATTATGTTTGTTAACGCCCATAGATAATTAACGAAAATCGAGCAGTCGAAGAACAAATTTACACTCGTTCTAATAAACGCGGGCGAATTAAAACGGAACGATTAACGCTTAACGCGAATAAATAAGCGCGAACGGCGTCGTGTATGTGAGTATGTGTGTAATAAATATATAATAAACATAGTTCCCCCATCTTCCATTATATCTCTTCTCTCTACCATCTGATCGATGCTACGTCGTATATATGTCCCTTGTGGCAATGAATTTCTTATCGACCCTTCCCCTTTACGATTTTAAAACGCTCATTTGACGCGATCTTACGAGCCAGCGTGTACCTTCTCCATCGAAAAGCTGTAAATTACGAAAATAGTCGGCCGCTTCTTCTTCATTTTCATTCGCGATAACTGCGAAAAATTTCTTCTCCACGTTCTTTTTCCCTCACGGAGAGAATGATGTGAGACGATATTCCCCCTCCAAGGTCTACTAATATACGAGAAAATATTAATAAAAAGAGACACGTCCCGAAAAATCGATGCATCAAAAATCATTTTCTTAACCTGATATTACAAACGTCTTATTCAGACTCTGTATTTCCAATTTCCACAAGCTTGAAAATATTAATTAGAATGAAAATGACAAGGCGACAAAGTCAAGCGGTTTCACAGGCCGGAGGCGAATTAAAGACTCCAAAACAAGTGTGGCTAGTTAGAGTTAAATTACCCTACACAGTAAAAAATTTTCTGTTAAAAACAGCTCATTGAAATGTTTCTGTCGCTTTAACATGTTAAATTAAATATATGTTAAATTAAAATAATTCATTTTCTCAACATATTATTGCTTTGTAAAATATTCACCTCGTTAAAGTAACGATTTCAGTGGATCATTTTTCATACAAAATTGTTTACAGTGTACGTAATACATGTCTACGTGTTTCTTTCTTTTAACACTTGGAAAAATATTATATTCATTGATTATACTTGATTCTTCTATTTTCTTATTTATAAGTTTCTCGTGTTTCCCCCAAGTTTCGAGTGTTACCACGAGCTCGCTTACCGAGAGGAAGGAAAATACTTTTCTCCCCTCGGACATCGAAACTCCCCTTTCTCCCCACGTCAAGCGACAGTGGACCATTAAAGTGAAGAGGCTACTGATAAGGTCGTTATTAAGTCGGCGCGGGGGCAAGACGGGGAGAATAGGAAATAGCACGCGAGCGTGCGGCGGAAAAATCATACGAACAATTACTCGCTTTCCCAATACGTAACCCGACGCCTCTTTTCAATGGTCAAAGGAATAATAAGTCACTCACTCTGTCTGATTGTCCTCGAAAGTCAGACTGCCATCGGTGTGCATGTATTGCTTGCCGGGTTTCGCGGTGCCTTCCACGGTGCGATAAGGGATGATGACGCGGCCGCGGGCCCCGCTGTAACGCACCACCCGTAGGGGATGCTGGCCCACGCTCTCCACCAACTCCACGTCCCTCTCCGGGAAGCCGAAGATGCCGCTGTGGTCGTCGTCCAGGATCATCACCGTCGCTAGGCTCGGTGAGACCAGCATCGCCGGTTGCGACACGTTACTGAGCCTGAAAATCAGAGAGATCCAATGATCGAATCGACGAGCTTTTGAGCCGCGGGTCTTATAATCTGACCGCCGACGGAGATCCTTTACTCGCGCCGGCTAAAAATGTCGCTCCCTCGGGGATACTTTAATCATGTTCGCGCGCGAGCCCGAGCTCTATAATCCCGAAGCGCTGAATATTCGCCATTCGAGGGCAGATTTCACTCTACCGAGACTTTATTTTTATCCGCTTGCCTTCTTTTGATGTCCCTCCTGCGAGACGCTTCTTCTTCTTCTTGCTTACTTTCTTTTTTCTCCTCTTCCTTCCTACCTTTACTTCATCCACTAAATCTGGAACGTCCTGTACGGTCACCCGACGCATGACCTCAACGAGTAAAATAACATATTCTTCTGCATCTTCGGGCTCGTGTGAAGAGCCCGAACGCGAGGAAAACGTGAGAAAGCAATTGGACCAAAATAACACACGGGCGGATCTGAATTCTCACAATGTTACGTTCCCGTATCGATTAATCCTAATAAAGTATTACACGGATTGTTAGCGATGTGGGTCGCGGAGAAAAGCGTTGTTACTTAATGATCGTTGCATGTGGCACGTAGCTGAATCCAAAGATTATCGGTATAATTCATAGCTTCTTTATCTCGCGCGCGCGCGCGTATGTGAATTGTTTTAATGTCAAAAGGTAACGGAGAATACAGGTAGACCGGCTGGTTGAATCGGAAAGTGGCTTGCATCCCAACAAAACCAAATCCGAAGTTTCGAGAGTGGAAACGAATGAAAATATTTTGTCGTTATAAACAGAAGTTTTATTGGAGAGAGAGAGAGAGAGAGAGAGAGAATTACTATTTCTGTTTAAAAGATATTTCTCGAGAAAACGATGCACGTTCCATTCCATTTATACTTTGAATCCTTCCTTTTTATATACATCTTTTGTCAACTAATTTCCTCCTTCTCTTTGTTATATTTCTACCTATATGTTTCATGGTGCAATGAATTTCCTTCGTTTTGTTGAAAAAAAAAGGAAGAAGACATCTGTGAAAGGGAAAAAGTGTCCTCTCGACGTTTCTAACGTCAATTTACATTTCCATTCTTCAATTATTGCGAGAAGCCCTTTCCGTGAGCGCGCGCTCGCACACGTACAAGACAACGATGAATGCTAAATTTTTCAATACACCTCGCGTCGGACTTCCTCGTATTTTGGAGTTACGTCAAGGATGCAAGAGCGAACGGAAAATTTCTCTGCTCTCGCCTCAGAGAAAGAAATTAATTGAAAGGCACAGCCGGAATGTAAGAAACGGTCAAGTACACTGAGAGCTTTTAGAAAGGACGCACCTGAGCCCTCCTTGAAAGCTTTCAATGCGCTTTCGAACGCGATTTGTTCTAATCTCGCCCGCAGACATCAACGAACCCACGGATTACGTAAGTCGTCCTTTTCCCCTGCACATTGTAATACCGATTATAAACTCGATAAATATTTCCCTTGGCGTGCACATAAATGATGACACGCGATGTGTGATACTTGAAGGGCCTGAAGGTGACAGCCTCAACGCGGATATCGGTGAGCCAATATACACAAATTATGTCAGCTTCAAAGGTCAGACGTTGCGGTTCCGCTTCGAGTAAGATGACTCGCGCCGTCTTAATCAGCTGTTTTGAGACCTCTTCTGAATGGCAAAGTTACGAAATCCAGTAATTTAAATCAAGCCGAGCAGTGACAGATGATGGACAGTCCATCTCGTCGACCCTTCTTTAGTTACATACACGAGAGTTCACATTGTACGTTTGTTAATAAACATGGATGGATGAAAAATCACGATTTCGGTCGGGATTACGTCGGAATGTTCGACGAGTGCTTCATGCTAAGAAACAGGCACGGTGTCTAAATTTACAAGGGGATTTTTAGCTAACGTTTATTTTCCACCGTTAGATGGACTGCGTGATTTGAATACTCCCATCGGACAAAGAGGCGGCTATATCCATGTAATTGATCATCGTTACGTGCGCCTTTTATATTCGTGTAATTTGTTCTCAACCCCGCGCGGTTTGGAACTTCCTACGGGCGAGTAATCGGCATTATGCCGGCTTTGGTGCATTTCGCGGCGATAAGCGGATCGCATATGCGTGCATACACCAGTCATGTATTTCTTGATTTTCCTTTCACCGCGTGCTTTCTCGCGGTATGTGGAAGCTTCTTAGCGAGCTTCTTCCAAAACACCTTTTCCTAAGCTTTCTACAGGCATTCGATGCTTCTTATCAGTGTTGCTGCGACTTATTTTCCGTCCTTCCTTGCTTATTCGAATGTCAACCAGAATGAAAAAATCATGTTTCAGCTGAATTTCGCTTTAGCGCATTTTATTTGGATTATTTGAAAATTAAAACAGCGAATTTTCTGTATTTTTAATTAAATTTTAATCAGACCTCATTATGAATGATAGTCAGACCTTGTGAGCAACGCAGCAGCCGATAACGTGTGGTTCTTATGGAAAAACAGTATGTTTATGTGATTTTGTTCAGAAATTCATGTATTTACATTATATTCGCGTAATAAAGGAAATTACGTCCACAAAATTATACATGATTATTTTTATTTGTACGCGCACTCGCACAGAACGTACACACGTTTGCTACTTTTGGTTTATTCTCTGGTTCATCTTAAAGAGGCATATGCACGGATTTCGAGATTTCAAGTTAGCAACACTCTGCTCCGTATGTGCTCTTCGGAACAAGTTGCACAATCGCGTTTGTACAATGCATGCGTCTCGGCTGCACTGCTTCTCCAGCTATTCAATGCTTGCGAAATATCCGCCTACAACCTGGCGCTTGTGGGTTGGTGAATAGCTTGCGTACGAAGAAAGGTTAACAAAGCAGCATCATCATCATCGAGACTTGACTTGGTTTTGAATTACTGAATTTTTCAGCTTCTTTTCCTGGACTCCTGTCTGCGCTGTACGTCAAACAATCTCCTGACCGGTGATCTCAGAATGATTAGGACGACGTAAATTAGATTTCACTTCTTCGCTATCACTATCCGCGTTTAAATTCTCTCTCTCTTTCTCTTCACCCTTCATTGTATATTTTAATTCAGTATCTACCTCTCGTATCTTGTACTTTGTAACAGATGAAATTGATTCGGAACCTCAGTCGTAACAATTGAAATATTCCCCGCTCTTTTTAACGAATGTCAAGCTCGAGTAACAATTTACTGAATTTACGTTAATGAGATGCCTACAATATAAAAAGTAGGTTCACACTTTATACGCGAATAACGCTACTCAAGTCAAGAACCGCGTCAATCGTTATTTCCTAATGCTTCGCTCGACACCTGGAAGCGTCTATTGATTATTTTCCACTTCTCAGCTATCCCCTTGCCGATTTTTGCATCAGCTGAATTATCAAGTGGGTTACATCGATTTACTTTTAATTGCACATGCACGCGCGGTTTCCGGCCCCACGATGCAATCCGGCATGCAAGCTTACGTTGCAAATAACGCGAAATATCGCCAGGGCATCTGGCCACACACCAACACGAGCTCGCAATTTCCGATCATAGCATGAAATAAAAGAGTCCGCTCGTTCGAGCCGCACCTCGCTGCATTTAAAGTGTAATATATGCACCTGAAAGTTTCTTCAAAGAAGAACTAATCAAGAAGTGGAAGCGAGAGGGGGAAGAGAGAAAGAAGAAGGAAAGGGGAAGCGAAGCGTTTAACCCGACACGTGCGTTACCAATTTCACCGTCCTCCATCGTCGGTCTTGTAACGCAACCGGCTCGCAATTTCTTCCCACATAAGGAGATTGCACCAATTATGATCGTTCTCTCGTGACATCATCGTCACTCGAAGTTTTCGAAGAACGAGTTTACCCGCGAAAGCAATGAAAACTAGAAAGAGATAAATAGAAGGAGAAGAGAACGCATTAACATGTAGAAAATGACAGAAGAAATGTGTTATTCGGTCGAGTATGAAAAAACTAAGAGCTTCGAGAGCACAAAGAAGAGAAGGGCCGCGCTAATCACTCCTTGATTAAATCGACCAGCGGCGGTTCATCGAATTGCGGATGCCGCTGGTCCGAAATCAATCGGATGATTGCCTCCTGATCCGTAATCATAGCGTGCTCTCTCTCTCTCTCTGAGAACCACGCCTTTTCCGAAGACGTCTCAAGGCGCGATCGCATTCGAACGAGACCTATTTCGGAGCGTGATGCGATGACAATTATGCAGAAACGCGCCGGCGCTCATCGAAAGCAGCGCGATAATAATCATACGCGGGGAAGATTCTCTCTCCGCGCGATTACCACGCAGGTAATTCCACGTCGGAACTTTAATCGAAGTTCGTGAACCGAAGTGAGCGATTCCTAATAGGTCACGCTTCTATCTCCGTCTAATTTGACAAATACAGTTGGTCTTGCGAGGAAAATGAACGGAGGTGTGGGGGCGATCATATCCGCGGGAAATCTACCTGACGTAGAAGTGCTCGTCCTCCTCGAACAATTCATCGTCGATAACGGAGAGCTTGATAGTCTTCTTGGTCTCGCCAGGTTCGAAGGTCAGGGTGCCCTTGGCACTAACGTAATCAGATCCCGCCTCGGCGGAACCGTCCTCCGTGTAATAATCCACACTGCAGGGTCTGGTGAGGTCACCCCCGGCCCTGGTGACTCCCACTTCGAAGGTCCCGACGTTCTCCATCACGGTGTAATGGCCAGGCTCGAAGAACACCCTCATGGCGTTGACGTGCTCGATGTCGATGCTCTCGGCCTCCTGCTTCTGCAACTCGGCCTTGACCTCGCTGAGGTCGCTCTGCGCCCTTTCGCTGATCTTTCTACTGAGGTTGCCCGCGCCCACCATCTTCCTCGTGGCCTGCACCCTGTAGAAAGCTCTGCTCTTCGGCCCCTTGCCCAACACCTCCTCATGAGCCATTACCTCCAACTGCTCGAGGGGCAGGGTGGGATACTTTTTGCGCAATTCCTTCAAGGTATTGATGTAATCCCTGCGGGTTTGCTCGAACTCCCTCGCCTCGGGAGAGTCGCCGTCGGCCAGGCGGTCCACCATGCCGTGGAGACCATCTTGCTGAGGCTTTATCTCCAACTCCACCCCCACCTCGGAGTCGCCGGACTCGGCCTGCACGATCACACCTCGCTTGTTCATCCGGTAGCCCTTGTGCAGATACTTGTAGATCAGCAGTCTTCGATCGGCGATGTAAGCCGAGAGGACAGTGGCCGGGAAGAAGGAGAAGGTCAATATACCTTCCCAGACCTCCAGCACGCCCGGGCTAGAGACCGCCAAAATAACGTAGAGCCACACGTAGGCGAAGATGCTCCAGGTCGCGGTAACGAAGAAGACGCGCAGGTGCTTTATCTTCCGGGTCTCGCCGTTAGGGATCACGAAGACGCACAGGGAGATGATTACGAAGAGGTTGTAGGCGGCCGAGCCGACGATCGTGCCCGGGCCGAGTTCGCCGGCCTGGAAGTTCTTCGCCCAGATCTCGATGATGGACAACAGGATCTCGGGCGCGCTGCTGCCGAGCGCCATCAGGGTCAGATTGGCCACCGTCTCGTTCCACACCCGCACCACGACGATCTGCGGCTCCCTGCCTTGGCGGCGCACCACCAGCTCCTTCTCCTTGGACGTGATGACCTCGATGGCCGCCATAAACCGGTCGCTGATGATCGACACGCCGATGAACAGATACAGCAGCAGGAAGAAATACACCAGGCCTCGGAAGATGATGTCGATCAGGTGCAGGTTATCCCCCGGATGCCACATCGGCATCACCAGGCCGGGCTCGCAGCGTACCGAGTAGTTGCCAGACATCTCGAGGTGTCCGGAGAATCACCACTGGAATTCCTAGCAACCTCGTCCCTTGAGGAATGAAGCAGCACCACCTCCGTCGGAAGTCTCGTTCTTCATTCAGGGCTACGTGATCTTCTTATTTTGAATCGCGAACGAACAAGTAAAACTTCACAATCCACTATTTATCCTCCTTTGCAACTCCCTCGTCGCGTTAGCACCGTGATCTAACCACGAAAACGCCGGCGACCTTTCGCGCGCGTAACATGCTCGTCGAAAGCTTACGGAGCTCGTCCACGAGTGACAACCTCTATATACACCTCAGTCTCCGCTTACCGATCACCTGCCGCTCTTCGTCTACTCATCATCGGACGACCTCTCGCAGAGAGTTTTCCCGCACCCGCCCCGATAATCCTTCCACACCCACCCTTACCGGGAGACAAGCGAAAAGCACGACGCGCGGTCCACCCTGAGGAAGCTACATCGGAACCGGCTACCGAGGTGATCTGCCGACACCACCGCGGCAGTGAGCTCCCATGACGAAGCGGACCGGGCCGCGTTCGAACGAACACTGAAAGAGGAGAGAGAGAGAGAAAGAGAGGAAGCTAGAGGAGAGAACGACCAGACCGAGTGGGGAGTGGTGTCTCGCGAGCTAGCCAGACGCACCTCGTCCCCTAACTCCCCTCCACCTAACCACCTCCTCGCTCTAGCTTCGTCCTTGTTCGCTTCGCTGCATCGCCGGTACTTCCGTTCTTGTCGACCTCACGGTGCCCACGGTAACGTCGTCCCTCTCTGTCCTTGTTTATTCCTGCTGGCGGGCTGCTTCCACCACCACCGGTATCTCCCTCCTCGTCTGCCTCACCGTGCCGGCCGATACCTATTTCCTGGTCGACTTTATCGCATCGACGGTACCGCCGAGCTCGTCGTGTCGCCGAAGAAACGCCTTCCGCGTGTCTACCTGCGCGCGTCTGCCCGTAGTTTCGTTCCTCGTCACGCGCGACGCTACCTTGTTGTACTCGCTTCTGCGTTCTCTTCCCCTTCTATCTATCGCTTCTTCTGCACCCTTCGTATTTATACATTCGTCCTTGTCGAGCCCTCCCACGGCGCCCTGGTCTCTCTTTCCCGCAGCAGCGGATACTCCCTTCTCTTATTCTGCGCCAGGGGTGGCTGCAGCGTGGCTCCCGCGAATCTCCTTCTTCGTCGTGCAGTCTGATCATTTCATTTGATCTGAGTTGTTTCTTCGGAACAGATTATCGTGCGGTCTTTCAAAAGCTCCTCCTGAGAAAAAGAACTCTTTGAACTTGTATCCTTCTGCTTATCAAATGTAACATTTGCCTTTTGATCTGCTTGGAAATGGTATTGTTTTATTTTACGGATAATCTCGACCGCCACTCTTTTATGTGCATCTGTCTGTTCTTCATCGCTCTTCGAACTTTTCCATCCCTCTCCACAACTATCCACGCCTTTCCCCATCCTCCTAACGTTTTCCATCCTCGTTACAGCTTACACCCTCCGTCATCACCCCTCTCTCTCTCTCCCCTTCTCTTTCATCCCCATCTACAACTCTGGACCAGGGTCGCATACATAGGGACGGCCCAACGTATTCAGAATCCCCAGCCTTCAACGCAATCTCTCTCTCTCTCTCTCTCTCTCTCTCTATATATATATATATATATATATATGTGCATGTGTGTGTGTGTGTGTGTGTGTGTGTGTAATATCTTAAATATAATATCTTTTAAAATGTATAAAATAAATTTATTTAAATTGCTTAAATAATTTTCAAAACATGAAATATCAATATCATTGAAATCATGCGTGTATATATTGCTACATATACAAAATTACATGTATTCAGATTAAAACGTGAAAATGATATAAAACTAAATGTAGAAAACAAGGACTGTCCGATATTAAAATTATAAAATCGAAAAACTACAGTACTTTTCGCAAAATTTTCATACTGTTTTCATTTAGTGCGTCTTTTGAATAGAACGCTTTCCTCACAAAGTTTCTATTTGCACCGCTGCTCCGAACTCCGGTACTCGTCGTGCTTGAGCTCCCACCCTCTCTCTGTCCTTGTCACGCCTGACGTCCATCGTACTCCCCTCCACGTCACTGACTCACGCATGGAACGCGCGTCCCTTCTTATATTGCTATCCTCGTTTACGCGGTTCTCATCTCACTCACGCAGCGCAAGACGACGTACGCATGCGTATACATGCTACCCTTTGCGTAACCGACACCCCGGGGTGAGGCTCAACCACCTTGACACTTCGAGTCTATCCAACCCAATCAGTTCTAGTAGGAATGAATTATGTTGAAAACAATAATCGATTATAATTTTAAAACATCGAAAGTATAATTATATATATATATAATATAAAGTATAATTATATAATTATATATATATATATAATTTTTAATTTTTTCAGAACTATTTTATATCTAGGAAATGATCAGTATTTAATAGCACTAACAATCAGTACTTAATTACGCATTATGAACATACTACATTATAAGAAACGATGAGATGATCGATCTCTCTCTCGTTGCATATTTTTCATAAAAAATAGACGGTAATTGGTTAACTTTACAGTTGCTTTTTACTGCGTGACATCTAGATTTCCATTTTTCAATAGCATATTTAATATTAAAAACGAATTTTTTTTATCTTTCAATAGTCAAAATGAACATCCATTTAATCAGTTGTGTTCAGTCACCTTATGAAAAATAAAAATTTGTTTTTTTCTTCTGTCGTTAGTTGAAAATAAAAAAAAGTCATTTTTGCTTTGAATCGTACTGTTTGAAAATAAGAAGTCCGTCTGAATTATTGTTGAGCTGTACTACGATCTCGATTTAGATAGTGGCGGCTCTTAGCAGAGATTTTCAAACTAACAAAACAAACGGATTATTTAGTCGAGTTTCAAACCCATTTCTCGTAACGATCTTCTCGCGGTCATCATTAGATGGCGCCGAGCAATGGCAGATAAAATAACTTAAATTTCCAAATAATGCAATCAAATAACAGGCTAGAAGTATAAAATAATCTTATATAATACTCTCTTCTATAATACTCTCGCAACTATTGAGATCAATGAAAGAAAATAATAAAAGGACGAAGAAATGACTGATTCAATGTATTCATAACAATATATAGAGCATATTCGGGAGGGATATTGTGTCTATATATAGGCACAATATATTCTGATACAATAATACATTTATTAAAATATATTTGTCTCTAAAACATGGAAATAATACATGATTATATTGCGCATTGCATAATATTTCTTTTAAGCTTATTTTAATACATAATTATGTGTTTATTATATAATTATAATAAAACATTAGCTTAAGCAAAAATACTGATATAAATTACATATTTTAAAAATAAATTTGAATAATAAGATACGCTATTCAAGCAAAGCAAAAATAATACTTTTCATTTACTTAAATTAAGTAATTATTATTGAATTAAATCGATTATCACTTAAAGCTCTAAAATATTACTTCATGCATATACACTTTATATAAGGTCTACGAGATGTTGAACGAAAGCTATAACAAAAGACAATTTTGAGACTAAGGTTTAAAAAATTAAAATTAATACAATTATCTTATATCTTATTTAGCATATGTTGTACAGAATTTGTTTAGAAACAATAAATTGAACGAAATATAAATTCAAAAATAGCTGCTACAAAAGAATGTATATTTTTTAAGCTATTAAAAGAAAAAGGCTATTAATGGTTATTTAAATTAGAACCAAGAAATAGCTATTTTTAGTCGTAATCGTTACTGTCATCGTAATTGTCTTCGTATGTTTTCTCAATTAATATATTCTTTAAATGCACTGTAAAGTTTGCTGATAACGATTTGAAAGATTCTGCTTTAAAATGTATCATAGGATTTTCATCGAGATAAACATTTTTCAGCTTTTTCATAGTACCCAATGTTACATCACTCAGTTCCTCGAATTTATTTCTTTCGAGATGCAATTCCTCAAGGCGCCATACGTTTGCCCACTGTGGCGGAAACTGACTGAGTTGATTTCCAGAGAGATCCAAATTTTTCAGTGATCGAAAGTTGGAGAAAGCTTGATGTCCGATGGTAGTTATGCTGTTATTTGCCAAATACAATCTCTCCAAATATGCGAAATTACAAAAATTATTGGCGTGAACTGCGTTGATTCGATTCCCACTCAGATCCAAACTCGTTAAATATTTCAATGGACAGATATTCGGTATGGTAATGAATTTGTTATCAGCTAAAGAAAGTATCTTTATCCAAACGGGATTGTTAAAGGTACCATTGATTATCTCAGTGATATTGTTGCCCGATAGGTCCAAGTACTCCAATTTTTCGGTATCAGTGAAAGCATCAACCAACACCTTTGAAATCTGATTTTTAGATAAAGATAGCTTTTTCAACTTATTAGCACCTCTCAAAGGTATGGATTTTTTCTGGCACTTATCAAAGCACACCTCGGTGATATAGTTGTTGTTCATAACAAGTTCCAGCAAGTTCCTGAAATCAATTGGAAATTAACGATTACAAATAAACGAAAGGAAGATGAATAATAGCTATGACAATAATTTTAATGATACTAATACTAACATGTCAACAAAATTATTAACAAAGATAATAATTCTAGTAGCAATAACAATAGCAACAACAGAGAGAGAGAGAGAGAGAGAGAGAGAGATGTCAATTCAAAATTTAGTTCTTATATATCTTTTCTTTTTTATTTAATTTTATAGTCACTTTTCCTTGAGAAGAAAAAAAGATTCGAATAAATACAGAAATAATTCGATTAACATAAATACCTAAGTTTATTCTGTTCAACTTGATCGATGAGATTGTTGTCCAAGTAAAGAGTTCTTAATGTAGCCGGAATGTTATTGAAAATAATGTCGGCCGATTCGATGCTGTTGTTGCTCAGATACAAATGGGTCAACAAAGGCATCATTTGATGATGTATTTTGAAATTTTTTAGTTGACTGTTGCACAGATGTAGGTATTCCAATTTTTCAAAGACACATTCTACAGCGGAATAGTTGCTATGCTTTTCTATTTTTATAGGATTTATGGGATTATTATTGTTGATAATCAGAGTTTGTAACTCGGTGACTCCTTCTAAAGATAGCAACCGCTCTGTCGGAATTTTATTCCCAGAAAGATTCAAATACCTCAAGTTCCGCATACTACGAAAGGCTAAAGGCGATATGTTACTTATTTCATTATTATCCAGACTAAGGCTGATAATTTTCTGGCTGATGATAAAATCCGGGCCGATTTTTCGAAGACCAACTTCAGAAAATCTGAGGATAATGTCGTAAAGTTGTGGGCGAGGTGTTGAAATAGGGCCAGGCGAACTTATAGTGCTTGTTTCAATAATTTTTGCTGATTTAAAAGAGACGGTATTCAAAGATTGTTCTTTAAAATGGGTTTTTGCAGTGGGATTGGGTATTATATAGTTTCTTTCTCGAGTTTTCACCAAACACACGGTGATAAGGATAATAAAAACGGTAAATGTACGGCCAATCTCCATCTAACAAAAATAAACAAATCTATTAAATTAATATACATACAAATGTGTATGTGTATGTGTGTGTTTATGTTAATATTAGAATAATTGAATTAAAAATTAATATAATAAATATTTAAAAAATAGTAATAAAATTAGTTAATTAAAATGATAAGAATATAAATAAAAAGAATAATTATTTCAAGTCAAAAAAGAAGGAAAAAATATAGAATACATTAAAAATTTACGAAATGAGAAAGAGATTCTTATATATAATTCTTTACTGAATCTGAAAACTATTTAAATAATTTTGTACGTAGTCAAAGTTTGCACATAGGAGTATAACATATGTCTGTAAAAATAAGTACATGTAAAACTTACTTCCTATATAAATATTATAAATATCATTTTTTAATATATTAACTATATTCTTAGGAAAAAATAATAATAGTATAGTAACACACATACACACATACACAATATATTTATAAATATATTAAAATTAATATAACAGGACAATATTTGGAATAACTATAAATCAATACAATATGTGACACTGACCGTGTGCAGTTTTCTTTCCTAATGAAGTTATTACACGTTTCTTACAAACACTTCTGACGCACAAGAAGTTCGACACCTTATGTCGCGAGCGGGCAAGTTCGTCTTTTTATATACTGACCACGATCTGCATAGGCTGTGCAAATTGCAGTGCCATCTGCATCTGTATAGTGCATGATATAGTGCACCGATCCAAAGTTACGCACGCATTTATATATGCGCTCATTAAAATCAGTTAATCAAGTTAATAGAATGTGTATGTGTAAATATATTCAGGTTATTGCATTGTATTATATTTAATTACGTAATATCTAATTATGTAATTTATTATGAAACATAAAATACTCCTTGTAATTGAATTTCACTAAACTAAATTTTTTTTTCAGAAGCTGAAATATTATTTTATCTTTGTGCTGGTATTTTGTTTGCATTTTACAAGGAAACCGCAAGCCGTTTACCCATGTTTCCAAAATTTTTCCTATATTTTGGCGTCGTAACGATTTAATATCTTCAACTTCATTAGTCGCATATACAGTACGGTCTTCAATTTCAAAATAACTCTTAAAATATCTTTATTTTTATTCTTTCTAGAAGGTCAAAGTTATTGCTATACTTGCCTGTGCACAAACAGTTAAGACGCATCTTATGACACGAGAGCGACTTCTGATAAGTCTTGCACATTCTTATGGCTAGTATTACATGGTTATCAACGTTATCCATTGCCAGAGATTAATGCTGTAAATAATCCGAATCGTCTGTCGTGGCGAGAAGCATTCTCAGAAATGCGAAAACTCGACGTCAATCTTTCTGCGTTAAAAGTCTCTCGCAATAATAAGGCACAGTAAAATAAAAATATTTAATAGATTACATTGTTCGACATTGGGTAAAATTATAATCAATTCATGTTGCCGTTTTTCATTGCAAGTTCTCTAAACGATCTCGAAAGCACATTATCGCATCTGGCATTTTAACTTCTCTTCTTATAATCTCAGGCAACAAAAATAAATTAATTGTCATCTATACTAACTTCTCATTGTTTAATATATTTAATTGTACCTAATTATTTGTTTAATACACTATTATATACTATTTAATTATTCGCGCGATGCTACATTTCTACTTTCTTCTTTTCTGGAAAAATATAATAAGAGTGAATAATCCTAAATTTTTCTACGATCCTTCATTTTGAAATAATAATTGAAGGGTGCCAATGGCAAGGATGTTTAAATTGTTTGCTGTTAAACCGTTTTCTAAGTCGTAACAACGCTGGAAATATTAATTACCGTATGGATAAATCTCATATAGAATAAAAGCAATACAAATTTATAATTGTTTCAACTTCCACAAAATGATAATTTTATTAGAAAACGATGTTTATTTATATAATAAAGAAAGATATGAACACGCATACGGAGTGTCGACTGTAACATTATCATGTATATGATAACGAAACATATATACATTACATACATTACGGAGATCTGTTATAAAGCCATTGTACAAAATTAAAATGCAATGTTATATCTGTTCATTTAACTATTATTCTATAAACTATAGTATTCTATATTATTCTATAAACTATACTATTCTATACTATAAACAAAAAATAAGATAATGTAAATCTATTTGTACGAAACAATGGCGAACTAAAAATCATCTTACCTCACCAAATGAAACTTGAAGACTTCCCGAACTTTATCCCCTTAGCGACGAATTTAGCAACATAATCAACAGTCAGCAAACAGTCATATCAACTAACAGCCTAATGCAGACATTCCTGAATTTTTCTGTTTTATGTATATATCTCTGGAATAAATTATTCTGCCAAATAAAGTGGTCGTTCCAAGTACAAAATGGGGCTTTTATTTCTTAGCAAGATTTCTATTTCTAATTATATATTTCTTTTACAAAAATATCGTACTATTACAATATTGAAATAATTAAAGTTTCGATATTTGTGATTAAGAATTACGACGCTCATGACCTTCATCTTACGCAATATAAATATAAAAATGAGAAAAACTTTTATATTAAGTTTTAGTATTAAAAATGTGAAATATTATGAAATTTCGAACTTTATGGACATATACATAATAAATTAATAATACATAGTTATATAAGATAATTCGTAATTAGTCATAATTAATTACAGAATACATAATAAATTAATAATACATAGTTATATAAGATAATTCGTAATTAGTCATAATTAATTACAGAACTAAGAGAATAAAAATTCTGCTTAAAAAATAAATCAAAAAATATAGAATATATTGTTTTCATGCAAAACTCGTGTACCGCTAAAAACGAATTATCTTGTACAAATCAGTTCAAATATTATGTTACGTATTCCTATTTCTTTTTTACACTTATAATGTAAAAAGTAAGACTTATTTGTTAAAAGAAGTAATTAAAAAATGTAATCGTTATAATACTTTATAATACTTTACTATTCAATAGAAATTATATGTGGAAGAAATAATGTTTCAAGCGGTTTATATGAGCAATTAAAATTGCGAATAATGTTGAAACTTAATGTTCTTAATGTAAATATACTGTAATTTTATTTGGTAAAATGGCCAGATCTTTGGTACTTATGTCTGTGATGAAAGTAGTATTGAGTATAAATAAATGCGATATAGCATTAAATGAGCTAACCGATAAATCAGAAATTTTTTCAAAATAATTTGAGCTAACATTGAAAAATTGGAGGTTCATCAGTGAAAAAGCCCAACCATTAGGCAGTTTTACCAACTGATTTTCGGATAGGTCCAGAAATTGTAAGTGATTCAAATCTTTAAAGGCATCACTTTCTATATGTTTTATTCGATTTCCCCTTAATGATAACATTTTCAAAAATGTCAAACGTTCGAAACTTTCTGAAGAAATTTGTAATAATTTATTATAACTTAATGATAATTTAATAATAGGTAAGTTAAAACGAAATAAAGGAAAACTTGAAAATTCGTTATAATCAAGTAAAATTATCTTCAAAGATTGAAGATTATCATATTCAATAATAGGCAGAGAGTAATATTTATTTCTAGATATGTCTAAATATTCTAAATAAGGTGTATGCAAAATTATATTTGAAGCCATAGCTGATCCATTAGATAACGATAAAATTAGCAACTTTTTCGAATTGATTTCAATGTTCATTAAACTAGGGTTACCATCGAGATATAAATCTGTTATTCCTGTCATATTTGTTAACGTCAGATTAGATAGATTATTATTTTTTAGATGCAAAGCTCGCAAAGTTTTCGGAATAACATTAAAAAAATCTGGATTTACATTTATGGCTTTAATATTGTTCAAATATATATGTGTTAATTTTGGAAACGATTTACTAAATGTATCTGGTAACGATATTATATCATTGCCATTTAAAAGAAGGTGTTCTAAATTTGGCAAATACATGTCAATTATATTAAACGTAATTGATTCTATATTCTTTCTAATATCTTTCAAATCTTCGGCTTCTGTAAACCTCCATTCGGGGAATTCTGGTGTTTGATCACTCAGATCAAGTACTCGAACAGTACTGTGTTTTATGAAATTAGTGTTTTTAAGGTTAATCTTATTTTTTGATAAATCCAAGCATGATAATCTTGACACACGACTTAAAATCTCTGGCGAAACTTTTATCAATGAATTATTCCTAAATGATACATGACGAATGGTGTCACTTTGTATCAAATTATCTTGAATATCCATGATATTCAGTCCTTCCAGTTTTAATACTTCCCTATTGTCACAGGGAATTTCATCGTATATCCGTATTTTCATATCAAATTTATCTTCATATTTTTTTGAAAAAATAGACACAGTCTGTACAATATCCTGTGCCACACTTGCAGGTTCTGCATGTGCTAAATATCGGCCAAGAAATAATAACAAAACTAATGTAATCTGAAAAGTAATAAGAAATAATAATAATAATATTATATATATATATATATATATTTTTTTTTTTTTTTAATTCAAGGGACTGAAACCAGTGTAAAAGTCAAATAATTTTAAGCAGGTCGTAGTATACAATTGCGCTATTTACTACATTGAGAAATCGATTCAATTCACAAGGGTTTCGTTAGTAATAACAATTAAAAACTGAAATCGTAACACAATACTAAAATAAAGGCATATAACAAAGTGGTTATGACTAAATTATTCTCACTCTTTCTATTTTTTCTGACTTCTGCGACATAAATATCCGAGTTATCTGAGAGAATTTTATCGTTATAATTTAAAATGTACTTGTACGTATAGATTATGGAAAAATGAGAAAAAATACAAAAATAGTAAGGTAATAGTAAAATAACATAAGTAGTAACGTACCATTCTGGCTGCTATTCAATACGTGATGTTTTTCAATACAACAAACTTCTTTGGTTGTAACTCGTAAGATTGTGACTGCGGTTAGAAGAGCTCTCGCAATATATACCTATTATATCATAAATGTGTGACGTCACATATGTTGTTCTAATCAAAATTATTTATTCTTTGAAATCACCCGAACATCCTGTTCCGAGCAGTGCGATAGGGAGGTTATCGCACGATATATTTATAATAACGTAGACACTGTCTCTTCTCCCTCTCGATGAAACATTTGTAATATAAATGGAAATCTATATATATAATAAAATGTTAATATTATTTATGAAGTAGACGCGCGAATATATGAGAAAATACATATGTATATAAGGCAGATTTTTTGTAATTTATGAAACCGGAATACGTCAATATGATACTGAGACGCACGATTGCTTCATTTTTGACAAATATATATTCTTCACTCTCAATAAATTTACTGTTACTTTACGCACGCAGTATGTTTTTCGGTTTTACGTAACGTTATTCTACAACGTACAGTTATTATTCTGCAACATACATTATCCTTATATTTCGTAATTTGTTCAAACGAATAATTATCATGATTAACATAATTGAAAGATATTATTCTGCATAAATGACCGTAAATGGATGGAATAGCGACAATTGTCGATGTATTTATTCGCATGTATCGTGTTCGGAGCCGTGGCCCAACAATTGATATACACGGATTCAATTTTCGATGCCGCAAACAATACGAGACATTCACGCCTACGTCGTCGATCGTCACATTCCTGTTTTCTCCAACGAGACTCAATAAACACTAAACTAATAGTATCAATGCTATTAATTAAGTTACAACTTACAGTTACAATGTACATAACATATACGTATATACATGTAATACGACATATGTTGTTTATTGAACATAATTACATCGTTGAGCAAGAGAAATTACAACATTAGTGTAACGTTACTGTTGATGGTATTTACTTGGGAAGAAATGAGCTGTGACGAGCAGCATCAAAATCCCAGCTCGATGGAACGGTGTTGCGCTTTGTAGCCAGTCCGGGCTCCCGCAGTTTAACACTTTGGATAACCTTCGTGGAACCTGTGTGCCAAGTCCACAGTGACATTCTTCGGCAAGTTGTCGAAAGAACCGGCGTCCAGATACTTGAGCGGATTCGCCATCAGGTACACTTCCACCAACGGCAGCGTATTCGACAGAGACAAGGACTCCAGCGACGTGAATTTATTCTCGCTCAAGTCCAAGATTTGCAAAGAGTTGAAAGCTCCCGTCCATCCTTCCGGCAGGGAGCTCAGTTTATTGTCGGACAGATCCAACGTCTCCAGATAATTCAGATATGCGAAACTGTTGACATCGACTTCCTCGATTAGGTTCGCTTTCAACGACAACTCCCGCAACTCCGGCATCTGTTGGAAGGCGTTCGCAGGCACTTTTTGTATCTTGTTGCAGCTCAATAATAAAGTGGTGACATTTATTGCACTTGACATCTTGATGACTTCCTGGATTTTGTTTTGACTCAGATCCAACGTCTCCAACTGCAGCAGTTTCTGGAAAGCACCCGAAGACAGGCTGCTGATTTCGTTCCTAGATAAGTTCAAGTAGGTCAAATTATTGAGACCCGAGAAATCCGAATAGATTGTGCTAATCATGTTTCCAGCGACGGAAAGGTGACGTAGATTATGAAAAGCAGATAGCCATAAACCAATATCGTTCGGATTATTTGAGAAGTCCCTGATCATTGTAAATCTGTTATTGTCTAATATTAGTGTAGTTACGTTACTTCCTTTGCTTAAGGATTTCAACGTACTGAACGAGTTGTCGTTCAAGTAAATATGCTCTAAGCTGCTCGGCAGTAGATTCTTAAACTTAGTGTCCGTCATTCTGTTGCCGGAGAGGTCTAAAATCTTCAGCTTTGGAAACGGGCTTTTCTCAGTTGCAGTTATGTCCTTGAAGCCATTTTCGCGGGCAAACAAGATTTCCAGGTTGGGGTAGCTTCCGGGAATCGTAATATCAATGTAAATGGCGTTCCTAACTGCATTATTTGCTGTGAGAATCTCCAATGTTTCATGACCTCCGAAGGTGAAGATATCACGAGCGGTGCTGAATTTGTTGTTAGAAAGGTAGAGTTTCTTCAGCTTAGGAAGCTTGCTGAATGCATTAGGTGCAATAACCTCGATTTGATTCTTCCTGAGATCGAGACAAGTGATCAGTTGACTGCCGATGAAATCTTGGCCGATCTTGGTAATCACCGCATTGCTGAAGTTTAGGGAGAGAAGGTTACTCTCACAAAGGAATTGTGACTCGCCCAAGTCTGGAGATTCTGGAGTATTGCTAGCTAACGATAGTTTAGACCAACAAGCCAAAATGACGAGAGTGAAAGCGAGCTTCATGGTGGAATATCTGGAAAATAAACAGGAAACACTAATTTTAACGATATCGAATAGGATTTTGATACTATTTATGTAATAGATAAAATCCTGTAATTTTAATTATTGAATATGACTTCGAAATTTAAAAGAAGATGTTAATTATAGGATTATCAATACATAATAGCTGTATACATATAACTTTAATTAAATTCCCCGCGGAAAAATGTTTCATATATAATTAGATATAATTATATATCGCACGCAGGCGTCACATTCAGAATATGTCCAAATATAAAAATATATGAAGCGATGATACGGTTATATATATTTATATATATATTTATACATTTATATTTATATATTTATATTTATATATAGACATATTCTATATATAATCCTAATGACTAACTAACAATAACATAACATCAATATTTTACCTAGGCAGCACAATTTCCAAAAAGATATTTTTAAAACGTCTAAAAAACATCTTATGCCCCGATTTTAGACAGTGTGCTGTCTGAGTTTATATACTCGTATATAGTAGATTTTTAATCTAGATAACGTGTAAATATTCATATATCTGTTTATAACTAATCAATTTCTACCTAAATAAAAATTACACTCGGCACAAAAAGCAGAAACAAGAGAAATGCTAATTTGAAAAATCTTTTTTAAAAGAATCAATCGGGGAAGAATCACGATACTCACGTGGATGTTGCAATTGCAAAGAGTCGCCAAATAATGCACACTGTCCGCTCGGTAGATATAGTTTATATCAACAAGATCGATAAGAAATTTCATAAAATGATAACAAGAAACAAATACTTGTGATCGATAAGATAGCAATAAGTGGTGATTTTTATAGATAAAAGAATTGATAATCGTGTCATATAACATAATGTAATTAATTTTACTACCTCCCCATACACGTATCATGATAAACATATTTAACGATCTTCTTTGCGATTAGTGGAAACCTTCAATTGATCGCTTTGCGTATGCCGAGTTTGAGCAATTGGATTTTCATACCGGTGTTTTATATGTTTCCAAAGTCTCTGCAATAAATAAATATAGTTTTTAGTGCGTTTCTTGAACTATCCTAATAATTTGACCGAACAATATTACAAGCAAGAATTTTGCAGTTTAATTGGCAGAAAATTATAACAGAAGATATCCATATTTGTACACAGTATTTACCTCCAAGGGACGTCCAAAAGATATCCTTATATCCTAAGGACGTCCATCGGATAAAATAGGTATATAATAGTTTTTAATGATATAAAAAATCAAAGATGTAATATTTTTACATATAACCTTGTATTGTTTTATCTATATTTTTATAACCGCTCTTGAAACGAATTTATCGATATACGTAACAAAATATCAATCAATAAAAAATTGTTTAATTGTAAAGCACAGTAATCGTCCATTTTGTATCATAAGTCCGATCATTCATCTCAGTAAGAGGCTGTTAAAGCATAAAAAATCTAATATATTGTTAAAAAAACACAAATTCACCTAATTTCGTTACTTAACAGTTTTATCAAAAAAAGAACTTTATCATTGCAATTCTCTCCAAGTCACTTAAAAGAAGTACTCTTGACATCTTTGATATTTAAAAGCAACTTTTATCTGATTTAAAGCAATAAAAAATTATTTGTAATATATCAAGGTTATATTTTTATTTTTTATACCTTGATAGAGCGGCGTTAAAAAAAATTACGACACACAATTATTAGAAATAGTTAAAAAGTAAAGAAAGTAAATAATTTTTATCACTGCATCTTATTGGCAGTTAAAAACTGAAAAATTCTTCTTTAAAATTATTTTCTAGTAAACCCCAACTAACAGTAACATAACATTCATCTTATAATTTCCCACTCAACAATGTAAATGCAATATAACACGTGTATGTTATGTAACATTGTTAAATAAATAGGAAATTATAACACTGATGTTACTAGTGTTGGTGACAGTTAATATTTACTGGATTGTAACGAATTTTCAGAAGCAACTTAAAAATTTTCAGAAGTAGTTTTACTGTTATAATAAACGCTCTGTATAACCAATATAATGTTATATACACACCAAGAGAAATATAACAATATATATATATATATATATTTATAATATGACTTTAATATATTTAATAAATATTTATACTCATTTTTCAATATCAAATAATTCATCACCGACCAACACACATACACACACACACATAACACAAATATTCAAAAGACATCCTACAGATGTCCCAGAATGTTCGAATATCCATGGGACATTTCTAAAATATCTTCCGAACATTTACATTATATGGGCAAAAACATGAGCTGGCAGGTGAGATTTTGATATTTTTGTAAATGAGTTATCTCTTTAAAAATGTTTGAGAATGATCAAGAATTTATCAACGCTGAAATATTGTCAGTATTGCTTCCAACAGCTTTTTATATATATACGCAAAGCATACCCCATCATTTACAGTTTCAAAAATATATTCACAAGTTCGGTCGTAAGCTCTCTCGAAGAACATCGTAGTGACCACAATAGCAAATGTGAACGTAGAGCTTCGTTTACACACATAACGATAAAATAGACGTGCCGCCATTTCGAGTTGCGATCAGATTACAATGTTCAGGAATATTCGAAGAAATACGTGAAGTGAAATTTAATCGAAATCGTCATTCATTTATTTATTATTTCCAATGAGGACATTCGTACGGTCGATTACTTATCATCATGAAAACCTTTAAAGCAATATCTTCAAGATAATAAACGCGATGGCACACTTCTGTCAAAAAAAACATTCGTTTCTGAGAAGTTTATATTTACTAATGCAATAATTATGTATTATAAGATCAACTTATAAAATTTATCGCATTTTTTTCTAAATAAATAGAAAAAGATATCGCTCTTCAAACAGTGACATTTGAGATTTATTATCGTTAGTTATAATCTTCGTTATTTAATCTTATTTTAGTTTATAATAAAATCACAGCTTTATAAAAAATCAGTCTGTACTGCCTCAATTACTTTGACGAGTTGATGAATGTCCACTTAAAATGTGAGATTACAAGGAAATTTAGTTAATACTCTAATAAAATCTTAATAACACTATAATTCCTGTTATTGAAATACTATAAAAGGCCAATAAAGTCTTATAAAAAATAATATTCTTGAATATTCCTACAAAAATATATTATGTGATGAATGAATTTGTATTTACTTAAAAATATTTATAAAATGCTCTGGAACTCAATGGACAAATCTCATGAGCATGTAAAACAGATTGAGATGAACAAAAAAGTCCTGTACCATTTTGCAAAGAGCATGCAAAATTTCGAATTATTGATTATTGAAAATAGCCATGTATAGAGGCTTCTTTAATTAATAATTCAAAAATTTGCGTGTTATTTGCAAAATAATACAGGACTTATTTATTCAAAGTAGCCTGATCTACAAATGTATGACAGCTGTTATATCTAGCAACAGGTTCACGGCTCGAGATTCAAAGTTCGATAAACAGATGTTTGTCTCTAGGAATGTACAACAGCTGTGATATACTTGTAGATTAGTCCATTCTGAATAAAGTCTTTTACCATTTTGCAAATAACATACAAATTTTTGAGTTATTGATTAATGAAGCCTCTATATATGGCCATTTTCAATAATCAATATCTCGAAATTTTACATGTTATTTGCAAAATGGTACAGGACTTTTTGTTCATCTTAATTCGTTCTACGTACTCATGAAATTTGTCCATTCTAAGACACCCTGTATATAAAAAAATATCACTTATCATCATAGTATCCTATTATGGAAGTTTATCTCGCTTCCTTTTTTGTATCACTTTCTACGAAAAGATAACAGCCAAAGAAAAGAGTCATTCCAGATAAGAGTACGTTTTTATCTTTAATCAATTTTATGTAAAATAGGACTGAAATAGTGAGAGAGAAAAAGTCAAATATATAACTTTTTTTGCACAAAATTTTGTTTTAGAGAAAATTTATTTCAATAGCTTATATTATTTCAAGTTGTTTGTTACATAAAACGTACTTCTTTTAATATATAACATATAAATGACGTACTACTAATCTTCCGTAAACGATTTATCTCGACAATGTACGCACGAGAATGAGAGGGAGGGAAACAACAAATTGAATGTTTCATTTGTGACACCTTCATGTTTATGTTTTTAACAATGACATCGTACAAAAGATGTAGGAACGAACAACTTTTTATAACTATATTTAAAAATGACGCTCAGTTTTCGTACATCGACGAGAATATATACAGGCTTTCCTACGTAACTTCACAATAGCTGACAGGCGTGTCACCACTGAGAGATACAATGAGACCTCGAATAAAATTTCACGGGTACAGGTGAGAAAAAATCACAACGCGATATATCATATATTCCTGCGAAATTATGGTTGCTTTCTAACAAGAAACACAAATCGACGCAAGTCTAGTTGTATCATTTGTTGTCCTTTTCTTTACCAAGTGCGAAATAAAGACAAATGATGTAACTAGACTCGCGTCAACTTGTGTCTCTTGCTGGAAAGCAACCTACCCAGTAGTTATTATCCAAGTTGATTCGAATTTATTACTGTTCCTTGTATGAATGTAATATTTTTCAAAGAAACACATTAGCGCGTAGATCCCTGAAACTATTTCGAACTTCTTAGAGAGATTATCGGTTCTTAGTAGTATCTCGTCAACGATGCCGCTCGAATTAAAATTTTATAGAGTTCATGTTTCCATACAACCTTCACGCTTTTTCCTTATCGCGCATTTCATTATCGCGATGCAGAGCCTTCTGAATTAAGACCGGCTCCTGCAGTACTTTCCGCGATATCCTGATCTGCCCGGAGACCGGATCACGTCCGAAATACTTGACCTGTATATCTTGGCCAACTTCGAGATTCAGAGCGCTAGGGTGATGAATCTTACGTTGATCCAACTGCGAATTGGCTAGCAACACCGGCACCATGTTGGGGTATAGCGTCACCATAACTCCGGTTTCGCGAATTTCCGTTATTTTCGCGGTATAAATCGCACCGAACTCTAAGGTAGGCTCGCGATTCTTCTGCAAAATCTTCTCTATCATTTCCTTAGCTTCGACCATGGCATCTTCGTTCGGTGCGAATATCGAGTAAGTGCTCTCGTCATGCGGATATACCTGAAATCAAGCGTCAAGCACTTTGGTACAGTCCAAAGTTCACAAAGATCGAGTGACACTGCCTAATACGAAAAATTGTTTCTCCTTATGTGATCAAATTGGAATAACTCACATGCACTCCGGTCTCCAAGAGTATCTTCTTCAGATTAGTTCCGCCAACTCCGAGAAACTTTCCTCTCTGATGAATCGGCACTTCTAAATTTTCGAGCACCGGCATCTTGTCCTTCTTGGTCTGCTGCGGCGTTTGAATCACTTTGTTCATCGTCTTGATAATTTCCGCTTTGGCAGTTGTTGCCTGATGCACACACTCCATTATGATCTTCAACGGGATCCCCGGTATCTTTATGTCGGCCTGCAAGGCGGTGAATCCCCGCTTGGTACCTGCTATCTTGAAGTCCATATCGCCTAAGTAATCCTCTATTCCCTACAGGCAGACGGAAAGTTTGTAATCAATCGTTCGGGTTACTAAACCGCTTAATTTAAACTGCGTAAATCTAAAGCTGGCTAACGTAAAGGACCGTTCAGTTATTGAACGATCTAACAGCTATACCGGTCTTCTAAACGTACTCACCAATATGTCGGTCAAGATTTTGTAATCCTCGATATCCGTTTTGGCTTCATTGTATTTCGTCATCAGGCCGATAGCCACGCCTGCCGCTGACGAAGATATTGGTATGCCAGCATCGAGCAATGCTAAACTCCCGCCGCAGACGGTAGCCATCGAGGAAGAACCTATTTTTGCAATATCGAAACATCGTATAATCTTCTAATTGCCATATTAAAAAAAAAAACTTGCAATAAAACTCTGAATGCACGCTCAGCCTTTACTTTCACCAATTATCAGAGACGAGAACTGAGAGGCTTAACGGAAGTAGATAAGATTCCGAAGGAAGCAAAACAAACAGGAAGACTACACGGAAAAAAATTAATTTGCCGTTGCAGCGAAACTATCGTCGCTAGTGCATATTCGTTGCGGCAGTAATAAGATTTAGTTGACATAACTAAATTAGCGAATTATTCACAATTAGAGCGGAAACAGTGTTTGTTGTCAGGATAGAAAACATTCTGCCGTAAATTTGCCCTTAAGACGCGTTAACATGTTGTTAAAACAAGATAATGTTTTCTTACATTTGCTAATTTGTTCTCACAGCCAAATAATTGATAGATCCAGCAAATAACAATTAATATTCTTAAGAAATCGTTTCACTGTCCATACAGTAACTGACAGATTTTGCTACAACATAAAATTTGCCAGCATTACCGGACTTACCATTTGATTCTAACACTTCGCTAGTTAGTCTTATGGTGAAGGGATAATCCTTCGGGATAATCGGCCGCAAAGCTTTCTCCGCTAAGGCGCCATGTCCCATTTCGCGACGTCCCACCCGGCCTACGTGGCCTATTTCGTTAGTCGCATAAGGCGGAAATTCATAATGCAGGAAGAAATTCTTCTCTTTCATGCCGCTGCGAAAATAATTCATATATTACATACAAATTGCCTCGCATGTGTGTAAAAAATTTCCTGTTCTAAGAATAGCCACAGCTGATAGGACAATTTATTAACGACCAAACTGGTGCGGAAAGAAAAAACAATTGAAACCATGACCGTGTGTATACCTGATTAACATTGAAACGGCATCCATCTTGAACGCGCTTTCCAAGGAGTCCAAAGTCACAGTGCACATGACCTGGGTTTGGCCTCTCTGAAACACGGCTGAACCGTGAAGAGGGTTGAAAAGGTCCACTTGACACGATATGTCGCGTATGTCAGTCAACGAACGCCCGTCGCATCTGTAAATCATGAATCTCAGATACTTGTTTGACCGCTTAAAAGTTGGTGATATCTCGATCCTTGATAGATAAATTGTATCGCCTGTAAATACCTGACATCCTTCTCAAACACCAGCGACCGAAAAACATCCTTAGTGATGTTCGCATAGATCTTTTCCGCCAATCTAACGTCCAAGTCAGCGTTATCATTTTTCAACGTTTCTATGACACTTTTTCTAAGGTCACTCACTGCATTATCCCTGGAGATCTTATTGTATGTATGGTCGGAAAATATATTCCGCAGTTCTGGCTCTGAGCGTTCTTTCACTGAGTTGATCAGATTGTCGTCTTGCTGTTGACTGTTATCCTCAACTTGCCTCTTTGGCTTACCACATGCCTTTTGCAATTTCGTTATCGAAGCCACGATGTTCTGGCATTCTTTTACACCGAACTTTATCGCCTTCTTTAGGTCTTGTTCCAATATCTCATTGGCCGAGCCCTCCAGCATGACGATTAAATTCTGCTTTGTCGCAGTGACGATGACATTCAACATGCCGTCTTGAATTTGACGCCTGGTAGGATTGATTAAAATGTCATTGTCAATCATTCCGACTCTAACAGCACCTATAGGGCCATTCCACGGTATATCAGAAATACTAAGAGCTGCAGAGGCACCATTAATGGCGATCACATCAGGATCATGTGAACCATCAATAGCTAACATGTTACACATTATATGAGTGTCGAAGTAGAATCCTTCCGGGAACAAAGGCCTTATAGAACGGTCAATGACTCTACTTGTGAGGATCTCACGTTCAGTCGGTCCAAGCTCTCTCCGTAGAAAGTTGGTTGGTATGCGACCAGCAGCCGCTGCTTTTTGCCTATAGTCTACAATAAGTGGAAGGAAGGTGGAATTTGCTGATGATTGCTTTCTACAAACTGCTGTGACCATAACAGAGGTCTCTCCCAGAGAAGCAATCGCACTGCCATCAGCAAAACGTGCATATTTGCCTGTAGATAAGCTGAGTTGTTTCCTAAATATGAGGAAATTAAAATATCTATCAATCAAGGAAATTGTATCTTAGGTTTTCTATTTGAATTATAACAAATTTTATTTTATTCTCATCCAGATTAAATGAGTCAGAAAAATGAAATTAAATAGATTATATGTAAATTTAAATCAAAAATACATATTTAATTTACATGAAATTATACTATGGCAAAATATATTCAAGTTTCAATATTCAGTACAAATTTAACTATACTGTGCAGATATAAAAACTGTTGACATAACCGCATTGATACAAGACAGTATACTATTTAAACGAAATTTAACTGCTATTAATTAACATTTATTATGCTAAATTTCTTTTAATTTAAACGGAACTACTGATAAAATTGCTGGTATAATTTACAAAGATAATGACGAAATATAAACATTATTATGTTTAAACATTGATGAGAGAAGAAAAAAAGATCTTCTCTCAGGCAATTGTGGACTCAATGACTAAATTATATGAGTTTCAACAAAAAATATATATTGTAAAATAATCAATGTAATATAGTCAGCATGTGATTGAATATAGGTTAAGATATATAAACGTGACATATCCTCACCCATCGGATAATGTGACGACTTCTGTACCAATGTTTGTGCAAGATGAGCTACTAAATTTAACATAGAATATGTTTCCATTTTTACACAAATTTCTACAAGCCTGTAATATAGGCTTATGATATCTTGATAACCTAGAATTTGTGTACACCATCATCTTTGGTGGCGTTTCGCGGACAGGAAAAACATCTGTAAGGAACGGACAATAGATAACCTCAGATAATATGTATCTTGATATCGTAGAATAATACCAGCTAATAAAATGATTCCGTGTCTCTTATTGATAAACTTCTCAAAAATATTGCAATTATTTCAAAGTGTGGCTACGAAAAACAATAATTAAGCCGCCACCTTTGTCGTTTAGTAATAAAAATGCGGCTTAACGAATAGGAAACTTATGGAAATGCTTCATAAAATTTTAGACAGTCTTCCGAAATTCTCCGTCACGTAAATCCCTATTGATTCAAATAGAAATATTATATAACTAGATTATTTGGTATTATTTGCGTATAAAAAAATATAGTTTTAAAATTTCGGAAAAAAATCGTTTCTTCCCAATTTTTGTCCTGAAGGTATAAAATTCATTTAGAAAAATTCACGTGCATCCAATTAAAATCTGCTAGATTAATTTTTTTTCACAAAGAAAGAAACTAAAAAAATTCGCTGAAAAGTTAATTTAATAAGAAGAACAGTTTTCCCTCGAAACTTCAAGACAAAAACCACGTATGAAAGAAATGATATTACGTCTAACAAAACATTACTCATTCAATACTCAATCGTAATATGGAAATAAAATTGAAAAATAAAATAAAATCTGAGATTATTTTTTAACTACCACTTGCATTACTTTACGCTTAAATTTACTTATAAGCATAAATTTATTTATATGTCACAACGTACATTATCTTCTATACTATTATGTACAATGTACTGTAATGTACTGTACAAAGAGTGACAATAACACATCACACTTTTACATTATCCTTACTACACATATCCTTACTACACATATGTATGGTCCCAACTGTACACTCTAAAATCTAATTCCTGTTTGATCATAACCCTCGTAAGCGGTCTCTTCTTCATTGTACTTGTCGCATTCTAAACCTATGTAATCAATTTCCAACCTGAAATGGCCTGGAATATCATCCGCCAACGTAATTCCAAGATTCGCGATCTCGAACAACAGGACTGGATTCTGTTTGTCTTGTATTCTGCCTTTACTCGAAAATACAAACTTTGAAAATGGTATCTTGACATATTGCCAGTAAGGTCCTCCTCTAGTATAGAGCACGTAATGATACAGGTCGTTCCAAGTTAAATCATAGAAGCCTCTATTATTGAGATTTATCCCATAAGTCCTTCCATCTCCTCTGATACGAAGGATAAGATGAGTATATTCTGACCAGTCGTGGTAGATTTCACGTTTAAATGACTTATATTTAGGTGTTGTGGTGATGTTGCAATAACCAGAATACTTTATCCTGCCATCTTTGGGCAAACGATTGCTCAGTATACCAGAAAATATACCAGTGCCAATGGATGACATTTCCAATCTAGAAGAAAAACAATAGTTAGTTATTTAATATTGCATTATCAATTAAAAAGTTTCTACAATCGATCATTTATAGTATACAAAATAAGTATTAACCCCTTGACATACAATGACATCTGGGAGACGTTATTCATTTCATGTACCATTGTAGACTTTGACGAGATGTCAACAACTGTTTCCGGTGATGCCATGCAGTATATTATTAGATTATTCAATTTCACTTGTGATTATTCAATTGTTTCACAAGCTTGCACATAACTGTTCATTGTGCAAAATTAAATAGTATTTTTCAGACGCATCAAATTCCGTTTTATTTGTATGTCAAGGTGTTAAGGTATTTCATTTAGAGCGTCCCAACAAGATTGATATGCTAAAGTATATAAATATACTCCACTTCTACTAATGTGACTATTACTACTCTGATAGAAATATTTTGCTGAAAGTACTATGAAATCGATGAAAACTGAAAGGAAAATTATTGAAAAATTATAGAACATACATAAAAATGAATCAATTTTCCTTATGAAATATTATAACTAGATACTATAAAATATAAGGAAAATTAAGGTATATTGTTGAAAAATAATAGAAAATTTTGAGATATTAGATATCATAACATTTACTGAATATAACTGAAAATTATGACTTAAAAAAATGGTTAAAATATTAATTAATTTTTTACCGAAACATTGATGAAATAATAGTGAAATAGAGTCAATTAAGAGAGATTTTCAAATATATTTTCAATAAAATATTTCCATCAAAGTATCTATTATGTATCACTTGTACTTACTTGGCTGTTGAAAAACCTTCTTCATAATCACTGTCACAGGTAAGGACCCATTGATCTAGCGATTTGGGATCACCTTGGAATCGCCATATAACATCAACTTCATTCGGCCTATAATATACAATTGGGTCCTTTGTTAAACGTTCTCTTACTTCCTCCATTAAAATACCGAATTCCTCTTTGAACTGTCCATATCCCTTTACTATCCTTTGCAAAACAGTCAGATCCTCTTCCACTGGTGGTCTATCATATACGATTTTATAACCTGATTTTCTGTCTCGTTCGAGTAAAGTTAATAAATTCGTTGTTGTATAGAATTTTCTTCTGCCAATTGCGACATTTGTCAATATTCTTGTTAATATTCGCGTAGACATTTTTGTTTAAGACAATATACAAAAACCAATGATTATATTATTCCGTTTCCTTTGTCTAATTGAGGTTAATTTTATATTGTATGTACTTCTTGTATATGCACTCTGATGTGTATATATACTTCAAATATACATGTGTAATTATATAACATTCAACACATAATTATTTACTTTTATGCTAGAAATATATTTAGCTACATTCAGCAAAATTTCCCAACTGTTCACATCGCGTAACAACGCGAAAGCTAATGCAGCGCTGTAGATTTAGATATTGGCCGCGTTTAGCAGAACGTTTGCAACTGTTGGAAGTTTCCTGCGCTAACATTGGATTATTCCTGTAGATCTAAAAGAATAATCCAATCTCAGCTTAGAAAACTTCCAACAGTTGCAAATTAAACGATCTGCTGAACGTGGTCATTATCTGAAGATGATACATAACCAATGAAACGGCCCTGTGTTCTTTGCTTTGAAAACACCCTACATTCATCTAATATTTAGTTGAAGAAAAAAAATGCAACAATTCTAAGAAACAATTGAAAAAATACAGATATAACTGTAAAATAACATACGCATTCTAAACCTATATAAACAATTTCCTTTGAACTTTTATTAAACGCCAATATGAAATGTAGCTAACTTGGATATAATAGGATCTGTTCTTCTAGCTGCACTATATACAGGATGTCCCAGCATAAGAACACCTAAATATCTCGTGAGCTTTAATATAGACTTTAAGAATAATCGAAAAAATTATCATAAAAAAATTTTTCCTCCGTGATGTTCTTCTTTTGAAACCATTCAAATTGTGCTCTCAACATTTTTCATATCATTAAAAACAAAGGAGATATTTGAATAATCTCCTTATACTGAGACACCCTGCATATTGGTTTTAATACTCAAAATGAAGAAAAATATAGATGCCAGAGAAAAAAAGGGAAATTGGGATGCTAGAGAACACAGAGATATCTCACTGATTCAAAATCACGCACACACCCTACTGATATAGAACAAATATCAAAAGAAATGCAGTGCAAATATGGTAAGAGATAAAAAGTGTTGGTTGATGATATTAATATTTCATGATAAATTATCATTAATATAAAACTAGAAAGATCTTTATCAAAAAACATTCTTACAGTGTCTTCTTAAACATAATAGTCCATGAAAATAAAATATCTCGGTACAATTATCATAGAATATGATAATCCTAATTTACAAGAAACAACTAAGAAGTGTACCCTACTCACATTTTTATACAACTTTATGCTAGAGTAAATTAAGAAACATATTTTTCCCATCGGCTGAGACAAATTTAACCAGTTAACTGTGGAATTTAGTTTCAAAAGATCACCACAGGGTGCGGAATTAAAAACAAGCAACGACGTGTATACACGTCGAATGCAGGGCAAATGGTACTATTATACATTTTACGAAAAACGAGGAAGGATTACATTTTTATTCGTCAAGAAAACTAACAATTCGTTTCTCAATACGTTATTCTTACTAAAAGCTTGAAAATTGTCAAAAAATAATAAAATACAGAAACAAGAAAAATTGAAGATAGCAAGAATAAACAAGAAAAATATGAAAATAGTTTGCAAAATTTCAAGCTATCTATGTGTGATATGTTTCAAAGCACGGTACTACGCAAAGTGCGACTTCACAGGTCGTACACCAAAACCTTGTTTCCTTGCGTTTTCCATTTTTTGAGCAAACGGCACATCTTCGGAGAAGATTTGGTTTTGATGGAGTAGCCGGCAGAAAATACACAGCGGTCGCATTGGTAATATAAAGGGAACATACCACCAAATAATATTCTTATTACATTTTATTGAGATTTAGAGTTTTTATAGTGAGTGGTAATTTTTTATTTTACACGACGAGTATACACGTCAAACGCACCGCAGTAGAGATTTGGTTCGACGTGTATACACGTCGAACGCACTTAACTGGTTAAGAGGTAAAACTGTCGAGTTTTTTGTCCTGTTCGTGCTGTTTTAGTAATTGTAACAAATGAATACAAAAAATTCTTAAATATTTTTTTTACAGCACATATATATATACATATGTCTATATCATGAAAGTTTATATTTTTAAGAATTTTTATACATATGATCGATGATATCACATAGCTGAAATGTTTTTAAGCGTTTAACGTATCTGAATCATAACATTTTCACAGGAGAAAAAACTCATAATATATTCGTCTATGAAAAAAAAAACTTTTCTATATCTTCAATACTTATTTAAAAAACTCAAAAGAAGTGGAAGTGTTTGTTAAACGATAAAAAAAAATATGTACTTTTTTTTGTATTTTCGTTACTTCCAAATATGCCAAATTTTATAAATATTCGAGAGTATGACACTCGGTAGATGTTTCTTGCAATACAAAGTGTAAAAACAGAAATAAAGTAATGCTTAAACGGAATATATGCTGTTTGGTGGATACACTCAGCATTAAAACCTCTCGACGAATTCAAATAATTACGTACCAAGGTAAAAAAAAGAAAAATTTAATTTAATTTGAAATCTACTTGCAAATTGAAGATTTCTCAAAGCGGACTTAATAAAAAAAAGAACAAAAGCATCATATCTGTTATAGAATCTAAATATTTAAAAACTAAAACTTTAAAATGAAGGTGATATAAGTCCTTCCTGGATTAATGCGGCACGAAGTTCCAGTAATTCGACTTTATATTCTCCGGGCTCCGGACACTCCAAAATCTTGATCTTTGTGACATGGTGCACCAATTCCAACAATTTTTGCTTCACGGCGTCTAAATTGCTTTTACCGTTGGCAGGTATTAAATCTACAATAAACAATTCATATAAGTCTCGATAAGTAAAGAATTGTCGCACAAATCAAATGCTCCAAAACTAAATTTTGGCTTTTCCTTGTATCGGAAGCTTTATAAAATATATGCCGCGCGATCTAAACTATTGTTTTTTTCTCACTGTGAGACTTTTACTATCACAATGAAAAAACTGAAACAATACCCAATACAATGCAACGAATACTTACTGACAATTTCGCAGAGATTTGCTAATGCTTGTGGTTTAATGAAACTTTCGGGCATCAACCTCACGTTTTTGTGTTCCACTTCCTCCACATTCCCGTAATCTATGAAGCAAATCTCTGATGTGTTCTGCGATGCTCTCGGAACGAGACACAGCGCGCGATACCAACCTCCTTCATACAATGCCACACATAGTTCTTGCTTTCTGGGTATGTAGTATTCTGTTTTTTCGCAATATTCCTTCATCTGTGTATAAAATATTATCACGTATAACTACAAATAACACAATTACATTTTCGTTTAAATTTCTGTTTTTAATATATTCACCAATTCCGGCATCACTTCGGTAACGTGTTTTATCAAATCAATATCACAAGGACTCATAAATAAAAGATTTTCACTATACCCTTTATGCAGCACCCATACATCGACAATATCTCCTACTCTTCCCAAACTCGCTATTTCTATGTCGTTTAACATATAGCAAGTTTTATCTGCAACGGATATAGATAAAATAAAAGTAATTTTTCGCAAAAAACACTTTTTTCTTGTTTTTTCCAACGATTAAATGACTTGGTTTTTTTTTCTAACCTTAATTACTTACGAGTGATAAAAAGCAAAACTACCGAACATACAAATGGATGCTCGGAAAATAATGCGACAATTCCTTTTTTTCTTTTCTTATTCTCGCTCTTATTATAGAAATATATTTTGAGTGCTGCAAAGTTCTCGATGAAGCGATGCAGCAGGTAAGAAAGGCGCGTGCAAACCGTAAACGAGAGAAAAATTCGTCGCATCACTTTCCGGTCGCTTTCCTTCATTTCCACGATTACCTTCATGATCCTCTTTTTTCCAACCTGGTATCAGCAGCTGCTTTATCTTGTCGTTAATTCTTTCTCCGGTACTCGTTGTCAGGTATACACCATCCTTCACTGATTTGTTGTCGTACGTGCATGTGAGAAGTTCCTCTTTGCCTAACAAGATACGCAAGTAGGAGTCGACTTCTAAGGTCAAAGGCACATTTTGAGGAACGTCCTTCAACGTTAATTTCGCGGCGCAACTTCGTTGAATGGCCAAATCATCCGGTATCTCTTGCAGTTCTTTCACGTCGATATCATCAAAATTCCCATAATCAACATAAACTATTTTGGCTTTGTCTCCTTGAATTTCCGTGATCATTGCACGGTATTTGTTGCCGTCGTTATATGGTGCGATCACCATTTGCTCGGCATGTGGAGGCTTGGAAAGACGTGGTGCTAAAATGAAAAAATTAACGTGTCGTTGTTATTTTATCGTTAGCACCTATTGCTTAATCGATCACTTAAAATTGCCGACTACTCGCTGCAACCGTCTTTTTCTTTGATGACGTCAAAAGCGAGAAATAATACCGTCAAAACACGAGGGCATACGTTTAAATAAAAAGATATACCTACAAAACGACATTTGTAGTCAATTCAATATAATAGCAAAATACTCCGCTTCGTTCTAACAATCAATAAATAACCGTAAACCTAATAAAATAATAACTTTTTTTTATCTCTCTTTTCTTATGATTTTGTCACATTAATTTTATTATTTATTGATTGCTCGAGCAGAGAAAGAGAGAGAGAGAGAGAGAGAGTGTTCGGAGTATTTTATAAGTGTGCTAAATCGAGCACAAATGTCATTTTGTAAGTATATCTTTCTACTTGAACATATACCGCAAGAATTCTAGGCATGGATTTTCTTCTTGTTTCTGACGTTATAGGAGAAGATGGCTGTGGTGAGTACATAGAAGTTAATACACACCTGTTTGGGAACAATGAGCGACACGTTGTAGGATATTGTTGGCATATTCTACTTCCACTTTATCCATAGAGTGTACGAACATAGTGAAGTGATTTCGGTAATTTATGAGACATACCTGAAATATTTGCAGTCATTAAAAATGATGAGATCGATCTCAATTCATTTTGAAAGATGTAGATAATTTAACTGAAAAGCAGAGTCGAGCAAGTTAATATTTTTAACCAAGTTAAAAGTTGATCACTATAAATCAACTAAATTTACGTTAAATGTTACACAAATAAAATACTAATTCAATTAAGAGTTAAGTTAAAATTTAATTTTACTAAATTTAATTAAACTTTTAATTGATTAGAAAATTAATATCTAACCCTGATGAAAAGTTAACATAAAAATTAGTTTTCGTTAATTAAAATCACGCCTTCATTAACCTACTCCGTTCCTACATTTCTATATAGGAATACCAGAAATTTACTTATCTTCAAAAATTTTCTTTATAATAAAAGTAGATTCTGGTTTAAATCTTGTCATTGAAATATAGTTTAGATTTTTATCTTTCAGAAAATAATTTCACCTAGCAATTCATCACCTTTCCTGGCAATAAGTGGGAGTAAAAAATAACTTTACAAAACACACCTTTTTATTTCATTGCCACAGCTTTTTAATTAATTAAAAATAGTAAAAATTAAATAATAATGAGATATTGTTACCAAAAGTTCAAATCATCGATAATGATGATTCTCGTTATATAATTCGCCAGGTGCACGTCAAGTGTCACTTAAGGTAGATGTTCAGACTATTTTCGGGAAAACAACTGTTCGGAAAATTCTGATTTTAGATTTTTTGTGTACCAATTATCCTAAAAACTGTACTTGGATCTCATAGATCTCAATATTTTTTTGCAGCTCGGCTCAAAATAGATTAATTGCGAGCTAATTCCTGCAAAATGCAATCTTACCTTATCTCCGCTTTTTAATTCGGCTAAAGCGGGAACTGATCTTGTTGCAGGTACGGGGGCTGATTTTGGCACAGTAGGTGACCAGGGCTTTATCAAAGCTTCGATACTATTTATGACTTCATTATTATCATTATAAATTAGCAATTTTGCTTTAAAATTACCCTGATTTTTATTATATCTGTTTATGACAGCATTGATGATATATATATTCTCCTGAAAACATTCGACAGAAAATTAGAGTTGAACGATACTAATTATCAAGTACTATCACTATTATGACAGCACATCAAATGACGTAAGCATAGTCCAATCATATATGTGAGTAATATTATGTATAGTGGAAAGCATTTAAATATACATTTACCTGCAATTCAGTGTTCACTTCGCAGATTACCCCGAAAGTACAAATATTTAGCAACTCTTTGGGACACGGTACAATTTTAGTCACTGACACAGTTTTCGGCTGATCCACTACTATCATACGCAAATCAGGTGACAATGTCATTACGTATCCTCGACGCCATACGTTAGTATTAATTTCGCCGCAAACCAAATCTCCCACTTGAGGTCTGAAAAATCCAAAATTTACAATCAGGGATTGATTTTCATCCCAACATTCATCAACTGTTTCACAAAGAAGGCATATAAATTGTGACAAATACACGCGTATATCGAAGGAAGAAATGCAAAATGTACAATATGCTTACCTGTAGTTTGCAGCTTCTTTCATATTCGTGCATACTGCTGACAGGTCGTCCAAAACCTTAGTCATATTCTCTGTATGCTGATTAAGGACCAAAGATCCTAGGTAAACGTTCTTTTCCACACGACTCACGACTTCTATTCCACCCTCAACTTCTAGCTCAGGAACTGTGTGTTCAATTAGCAAATCATCGATAGCGTCGAGAAGGCTGGGTAGTTTGATCGATGGAAGTTTCCCAGTGTTCGGTGACGACGGACTCGGAGTTTCCCGCGGTGCTTTCGGTGTCGCATTATTCACATTATCAGATTGTCGCTCCACCTCCACCACCGTTGTCTTCTCAGCGTCCGTAGATAGCTTCTTAACAGAAATTTTATCACCTTGAAGCAAATTCTTATCATTCGCATTCGCGAAGATTTGAACGCGAATTTTTCTAGCGAATCTCGGAACCTTGGCAAGTTCCTGTATATCTCGAATTTCAGTGTGTTCCTCTAGCGTCTCATCCTTCCCGGAATCTATAAAATGTACTTTCACGGGATTCAGAGATACTACCATAGCCCTGTGCCAAGTAGTTTCGCAGAGCACACCGTAAACCTCATCGATCGTTGGTTGGACATTAGAGGAATTTTTCGCGACGTCTTGCAACTTCGTCGTCAGATCGTTACGCGCATTCGTATCCTCAACTTTGTGTACCCAATACTCATTATTATTCAACGGTATGATAATCTCTACATCTTTAAAATCTGTTTTCGACAAATACGTATCTTTCCGAAAATCTAAACCTTCATCCGTCGTGGGTATACTTACTCTTGGCCCTTGTTTGTTGGAGGTATCTCTATGGTTGTATGACGATCTTCTACCGTTCTGGAACGCATCTCTTTGCTGAAGATAACTTCTATCATCACGGTTAAATTTATCTCTTACATTGTCGTTTTCATTGGTTTCTCCGTCATGAGTGGTCTTGCCTGTAGCGTCATTTTTATAACCGCGATTGTAATAGCTTGGCCGAGTATGATTGGGTGGTAGCGAAAATTGACCGTTTTTCTTTGACTGATCAACACTTTCATTACTATTAAATCTGTACAAACGGTTAGATATTGGCTGAGTTCTGTTTGCCGCGTCTACCGCCGGTTGATCTGCTTTCTTCTGTGTAGGCACATTACTGTTAGCCTCGGGTTGAATACTAGAAGGCTTGTTAATAGGCACAGCGTCTTCATTAGTCTTGTTTGTCAAATTCCGTTGTGTATTTAAACCTATTGTTACCGGCGTATTAGGACGGCGCAACTTTACTTCATCGCTAGGTATGTTAATATGAGTGTTGACTAGCTTTGTGCTTTCATTCGTATTAACCTGCGCCGGTGAATTATCATCTACCAAAGCCCTGTGGGAGAAAAACGTTCTCTCACGACAAAATATACATATACACTATTTTTAAGAAAAGACCTGTGAATATAACTAACGAAATAGATAACGACAAATAGATATGTTTAAGGCTTCGAAGTAACCGGCTGAGAACTTCGCAGTGACGACACAGTTTAGAGCTACAAAAGAATGAATAAAGTGCGGTCCAGCAAGTGCTACGAATATTTCGAAGAGTTTCTCCTGTCTTTTGGATCCAAATAAAGGAAGAAAGAGAAGGAGAAACACTTTAGAAGGATTTGCAGCGCTTACTGGACCGCACTTATATGCACACACTGTAGTATGTTATAAGCATCTTAAAACTAGCATCACTGCTCCAAAACTTTAATATATCATACCTATTTTACAGAGATATTCCCATGCTATAAACAATTTCTGCATGTATATTTAAATAAAATTAAACACTAAAATTAAAAATAGAATATATTTACGGTATGCGTTCGCATTCAGCTTGATGTTGTGGCCAATGAATTACTTGACAGGCCTTACTGCAATAATAATACGTAAGACATTTTTCACAATGTTTTGTCGTTTTGGCAGAACAAACAATGCATATCTGTAATTCATTCTTAACTTTATCGTCCGAACATTCGTATGGTTCCTACAAAAAATAAACGGTATGATTTCTAAATATTTGTTTTTAGCTTGTTCTTATCTAACATAATAAGTCATTTTATCAGAATAATAGAAGTAGCCACGAATATATAAAATACTTCTTGTTCTATAATATACAAGGTAAGCAAAAAGTCTGAATACAACCGAATATCTCATGATCAAAACAATTTTGGAAAAAAATGTTTTAAATAAAAGTCATAGTTTAAAACAATAAAGTTAATCTTTACTTGACATAGACGCTTCCATTCAAGATCAAACTGATAAAATTAGCAAATAGACCTTTTTAAATTCTTTAACAATTTTTACTTGAAACATATTTTTTAATCATCATTTACGAGATATTCGACTGTATCCAGACTTTTTGCTCACTCTGTATATCTTGAAATATTTAAAAACACTGGCAATAACATACATGCTTATGAGGACAACAAATTATCAATTTTCGTACTAGTTTTCTATTGTAAATTATGACATACATTTTGTCGTCTTTTGTAGATCTTCGCAATGTACTCTTCAATTGTACGGTCTGGTTCTGGTATCTCATATTTTGTAAAACCTCGTCCAAGTGTAACATGTCTTCTACCATCTTCTGTGACTGTTATTAGACCTCTGAAATAAAAAGTCATGTAAAATACAGCCAGTATAATAGAAATCGTTATAATAGTACTTATGGGAAAACCTTGTCCATAATCTATTTGTGTTTGCATAAAGTTCATCACTTCTATACACACTGGATTCTGAAGATAAAGGAAAACGTTGAATTTTTTCTTTATCTTGTATTAGCCAATGTGATTTTACATTTGCTGGTGAAGCAAGATATCTAATTGTATTGCCACGACCTATACTGTATGATGTACTACAATAAAAAAAAAAATACATATGTATTAAGGAAAAGACATGCAAAAATTATATATTACATGCATAAAATATCTCCTAATAAAAAGCTAAAATATCAAAAAAGAAACCTAAAATATATAAGTTAAAGTTGAATGTTGTCTTTATTATATAACTATTACTTTAAAAGGAATTTAATAATAATGCCAATATTTACGGTTTCTTATCTGGTTTTTCTTCAATTTCTGAAATGCAAAGTCGTTGAAATTCATCGTTCAATGCAGACTTGTCTTTTGCAAATGCAACTTCCAAATATAATGGTTTTTTGTTGTGGAACTTTCTTATAGCATGTTCAGCCTCATGATATCTCTCATATGTGATATAAGCCCATGTAGCTTTATCACGATAGAACATTCTAATAATTTTGCCACATGAAGCAAAGATTTCTTTAATAGTAACCTTAAACATTATTCAATATTATTATAATGCATATATTAATAAACATAATACCCATATACACATATTATATAATAATAAACATAATATATACACATTATATAATAATAAACATAATATATACACATATCAATAAATATTTACAATCTACATATTTGAATCCAAATAATATATGATATATTAATTTCCAATATTACTAATAGTAATATCATATAAAGTTCACTGTGATATTATAAAATTAGCAGCTACAAAACCTTTCTTAAAATAATAATTAATTAAGATATCTCTAAAACATACCTCGTTGAATTCTTCTGGCAAATAATTCACATAGATCTTATATTCTCTGTCCATACTGTATTATTGTAAAATAAAGCATTATGGTTTAAGATTAATTTAGTGGTTTAAAATATTAAAACTGTATATAAGACAAGATTAACATATTAAGTTTGTTTTCTATTCCAATGTAGCGGAACTTAGTAAAGTAAGTAGAATATGAGTAAAAAGAATCGCACAATAGGTTGAATAATAAGCACCAAAAATATGCGAAAAAACCTCTTATCTGATCTACAAATTGCTATTTTGTTCTCACCTATCGTACTTGTAACCTGGATTTGAACTAATGTCATCAGAACCGTCGAACGTTGCCATGATGTTGTCTGATTTACTTTTCACACTTGCAAAGTATAGAAGAGACTCACGAAGTGCGAATTATCCTGCAACGCAAATTAATATTCTACTTTCTTCATATTACAAATACCAGAGAGTATGACGCGTGCCTTGTACAAAAACGAACGATGAAAGATATGTTGACTTGCGAAGCCAGTATTCTTGAGCGTAACTTGAGAGCGAATTTAAGTCGTGAACAATAGGACAAAGACACACAAGTGAAGACGGTTTTGGGAGACTGTAAGAAGACACCTGGCGTTCACGTAGTTGCGCAGTGAAAAAGATACCTGGAAAAGCAAATCAAGAAATTTCCCTCGGGACAGCCCGTGTTTTCAGAAAAAAATCTTGAAGTTTGATGGCTGAAAATAACACGAAACAACCATTATCGTGATGGAGCTCGAAAGATGAAATTTCGAGGACAAGCTCGAAAAAATGTCAGTACTCACGTGATGAGAGCTATTCATTTTTATTCACCGCATATAATATCACACACACCGCATGCATAAAACCGCGAGCTTCCTGCACGAGAAGTGACGAACGTAATGCCTTGTTTGCAATTTCAAATTTGTGACATCATCGAAATTGCACGCGCTAATGGCTGCGTTCAGCAGAGAGAGCAGCTTCTCAACTGTTGTCAATTCATCAATCTGATTGGTGTATATTTTTAAATTTAATCAAGATTAAGAGCATACACCAATCGAATTTTACAACAGTTGCAAAACTTTCTCTGCTGAACACAGTCAATTGGCCTGTTCTTTTTAGCTATACTGCTGAACTAGTGGAATAAATTGAAACGAGACAGAGTTTTGTTCGAGTTGCTTGCACTTTTGACACTTTTACACCTGACACCCGTTGCACATTGGCCTCTCTTTAAACAGAAGAACTATCATTGGATATCGCATTCGGAATGCACCGGCATTAGATGCAAAAGTGTCAAAAGTGTAAGCAATGTGAACAAACATAAGTATATCAAAGTATATGTTTTCTCACTTCAAGTTATTACCCCAGTTCAGCAGTGCGGCTAAAAAGAGCAGGTTAAATGTTTACAACCGTGGATAATGCAGGGTGCGTTCAAAAATCATACTCATGAGTAAAGTCACGTTCACTAACCAATCATGACAAAGAAATCTTTGCTTTTCCTTGATTGGTCAATTAGATATTGTTTTACCTGTCGAGTAGGATTTCTGAATGCATCCAAAATTGTCTGCTATTTTGACGCAGTTCGGAACGCAGCTAATAGTCTAAAGCCCGTATCAGACTACGGATTGGGGATTGAATTGAATCTGACTAATGGTCTGATACGGGCTTCTGCCCAGAGGACGCGGAAATGCTTGCCGTGCGGCAGGAAGAAACACGATAGCCAATAAACTTTCAGTTCTCGTGGAAGAACGGTATGCAGATTCCGCCGCGCGGCAAGCGTTGTTTAACTCAGTTTAATTCGAGCTTCGGTTCACGAGCGACACCCTGTATTTATTCTAAGCACTGAACCTAAACCGTACTGAACGCAGTCATTGGTCGATTACGTTGCAACAGTCGCGCCAACCTGCGACTCGACAGAAGCGAATACCGGACAAACGCGAAGAGAGATTCATTAGGAGAGATCATCGGCGTGTAAACACGGACGATCCAACAATCTCAAGTCTCATTTGCATGCTCGGTCGAACGCGCGAGAAGAGGAAGATCTTCGCGCGCACGCGTGACGACGACCGTCCGGCGAACGCACGTCCTTGAAATCAGACATCACACTGCGGCATTTCCGCGCGCGAAAGTGCACACACACACATTCACACACGTGTGCATGTGTAGACGCGCGGGCGCGCGCAAGGCAATAATATTAGAATGAAAATTCTCGCCAAGTTACATCGGGCAAAAAAGTGCAGCGCTCAGGGAACGGCGGCGCGCGATTGGTCGACGCGGAGCGACTGGCATGTTATTTCGCGATGTGTCATGTGACCCTTTCCTATTTATGCAAACATCACCGATACTTGGCCTCACGGTCTCGTGGCAAAACAATAACAAACAACACACACGTCGCTCCGCGCACGTCGCCTCCCGCAATTCTCACCATTGGCGATAGTGTTTCGTGGTATCGCGCACGCGACGAGTCCCGCGCATCAGTTCTCCGGGAATCGTCGGACGGACGGACGGACGGATCGACGCGGCGGAAAGTGAAACCCAATCTGATCGCGAGTCGAGAGCAATGTTGTCAGCCGCGGAAAATGCCCGCTGACGAAAGCCAGAGTCGCGGTACGTGCGTGCGTGCGAGACGCGCGTTGGACCAGTATGCGATTCGGCGCCGTTGCTCCGCGTGAAGAAGAAGCGCCGAGGAGGAACGGCTTCTCATTGTGAGACCCGAAAGGGATTTTCGGCCGGAGGAGAAGGAGGAGGAAGAAGAGCGAGACAGCGCGCGACTCGTCGGGCAAAACGCGCAGAGCCACTGAACGATTCGTGCCTTCGAGCACTTGTTCGTTCCTGCCTCGAAAGGCCGCGAACTCGCCAGCCAATCGATCGAGCGTACGCGGACGAGTCAAAATTGAGGCACAGAGGTATCGAACCTCGTGAGCGATACTCGACCCGCGTGCGTTTCGTCATCCCCTGCGTGCGTACGTACGTGTTTTTCTCTCTTTCTCTTTCCCACTCCCCGTCTGATCGAGCCGTCAGATTCGCGCGAATTTTCTCGCAGTAATAATAAACAACGCGCGCGGCGGGATTGATCGGTGGTCTCGACGATATCGCGGTGCAAATACATGAGCACGCACAACACAACACAGAATTACACACATGTATATTAATATCGCGAATTTAGGTTCGTTCGGCGCGAACGGCTTTCCGTCTGGCGAACTCTCACGTGTATCTTCCTTCTTGTAGAAAACTTGGTTTTTAGTATAGCGATTAGCGTGCCACATTGTCACTGTGTACCCCTGCTAATGGATGACTCCAAGTACAGCGGCTTCTCGCTGGACAGGTTCAACACCATGGATGGCATAGTGAAGCAGGAACCTGTCCAGGAGATGGGTGCGGCGTCGGCATCCGTGCCGATCCCTGGTGGGCACCGAGGCACGCGTGGAGTGTACGACCAATTCTCACCCTCGCCTCTGGCTGCTACTTCCGGCTGGACCATGAGGAACGACCACATGGAGACCTCCTTTAAGATGGATCCGGATCAACTGGACATCTCCTTTAGGATGGACGATGATGATATATTCCAAGTGGACAAGGCTGAACTCATCCAAGGTCCTACCTTGGCCGAATTGAACGCCAACGATGATACTCTGCTGGGAGATTTAAACTTTGACGACTTGCTGCTGCCAGAAGAAAGGGTACAACCGATCAAAGCGGAGGCTCCACCGTCCACTGGCTCTCTGTTTAGCAGTAGCGATGTAGGATTTGCACCCAGTAGTTTTCCCCAATCCGGATTAACTTTTCGTAGTAGTTGTCCCGCGTATGCGAATACGTATGGATTCAATTTAAATAGAGGTTCAAACGTCGTGGACAATGTGGAGGCTGTTAGTCCTACTGCGTTCCCTAGTCCAGGAACCAGCAATATTGCAGGTACATCTAGAGAAATAAGTATATTTTATTTCTTAATAATAATAAATTAAATTAATCACTTCTTAGTGCACAATGATGGATTATAAATATTCAATATATAATAATCATAATGGAAACTTCATGTTTCTGCAAATTAAAAAATAGATCTACAAGTTTTACTTATTACCTACGGCGAAAATCTATTGTTTATTTTTAATAATAGGATAATAATGTGCTAACACTGAGCCACAACCTATATCATCAGGTAGTTCAACAGCGAGTTCATCGACTTCCCCACATCCCGTGGCGCGGCCTATCGGGTCATCCACTTTACACGAGCTGCTCCTAAGAAGATGTGAAAATCCGTTCACTAGCCCAGTATCCAGTCAGCCGGATAATGTTTCCGTGACAGGCGGCAAACCCAAAGTCTCAAGACTCTCTATGTCTGCGCCCACGCAGACAATGGCTCTGGACCAGATCTGGTCTCACAGAGAACCACGACAACACCTTTTGAGTACCAGCAGTTTGGTAGAGGCAGGTTCAACAAGTAGTTTGAGCACAGGAGGTGCATTGAGTCCAGATCCACTTTGCCATCTTGACCCATTCAATCCCGATGAAGATTATGAAGACAGTGACGATGATAGCGACCATTATGACGATTACAGCAGCGACAATGGTATTTACATATTTTCACATGTCATGTGTGTCTTGATATCTTCAAAGAAGAAAGCTCTATTTTCTTTCTTTGAGTTCTAACTGAGACGTACAGTTGGAAAATAATTTCTTCATCTCCGCTTCTTGTATGTCAAATACATCTTGTGGCTTGAAGTAAGAGTTAACTTACAGCTTTACTTGCAATTTAATTATAGCTTTAATTGCAATAACAGTATTATACGATACAGTTAATTGTTAAATTATTACAACGATTGCTCATTCACCAGATTCAGGTGGAAGTGACGGTGAAGAGCCGAGTAACAACAGAACGGGTACTGCAGAATTGGGAAGGGATAATAGGCACAATAAGAAAGAGAGATTTTTCTGGCAGTATAACGTTCAAGCGAAGGGACCAAAGGGGCAACGACTGATCGCTAGAGCACGTTTAGAAGACCCGCATGTCTTGAACGAAGCAACTGATCCGGTATTTAGTCCACATTGTGCTCTCAGAGGAATTAAACATAGCGGGAAAGCACGAAAAGGCGATGGAAACGATCTTACGCCGAATCCTCGCAAGCTTCATAACATTGGGAGGGAGTTGGACAAACTCACGCGCATTATAAATGACATGACGCCTGTTTCAGAATTACCATTCTTAGCAAGACCGAAAACCCGCAAAGAAAAGAATAAATTAGCTTCGCGGGCGTGTCGCTTAAAGAAAAAGGCTCAACATGAGGCTAATAAGATCAAGCTGCACGGACTTGAACAAGAGCACAGTTGAGTACTTTCGCGTATATTTTGCTTAGCTTTTTCGTTGCGGCTTGTACGTCCGGTTCTGTTGTTAAAGACGTGTATAAGTGGATGCGAAACAATGAAAAAGTGGCAAATAATAGTGAAAGAATTAATTAATAGGATATTTCATAGATGTATAGTCGTATTAAAGAACTGGGATGATTTTGTTTTTTTAGAACGCCTTATTCAAGGCATATCGCAAGTGAAAAACATGCTTTCTGTAAAAGCCACCGAACCTCTTAATCCTGAGAGTCAGGAGGAGCTCACACGACAAGTGGAAAAGTGTTGCAAGCTGGCTACTAGTGAGTACTTCACTTTATTTTTTTCCTCGTTATAAAAGATATTGAGTCCATCTCCCGCTCACTTTTATCGATAGAAATGCCTTAAATGTGGCTTCTCAGCTAATCTCAGGTAGTTCCATTTTTAGAGGCACTTTTATCGGTAAAAATAAGTTTAGAGTATGAACCATTATCGCCTATATTTGTTATCGTTTTTCCGTATTTTCTCGCATAACTGAGAGATGTTCAAAACAGAACACTTTGTTCCGTTGAATATTCTAATCTACATGTAAAATACATATGAATATAATAACATAACCGATCGGGAGACAATTGTATGCGTGAATTTTGATTACAGAAATACGAATAGCGAATCACTCGACAGATTTCGTGAACAGGGTGTTGGATAAAGTTAGAGCCGGTGTCCATGATGGTGGACTCGAGGATATTTAACTTTACGGAGAAACCTTTTCTTTATGAGCGTGTATATAACAAAATAAAAAAAAATGTCTATATGTATGGACACATACATAGGGTAATGCTTTATCTGTAAGTTTATCGTTATCTGAATGCTGAAAGCAGACCTATGGTTAAGTTAATCTTAACTTGTTGGTTAATGTATAATCAACTGATATCCTCGCGTAACGTTGTTTCAGAAGAGACGAAACCTTGATTTATGCTTTCATTTAACTGGACCCGCGTGTCGTCAGGTTATTCTTTCTCTCTATTTAATAAAAATGGCTGCATTTTTATGCTCGGTACTGTGTACATACATTGGTGAAATTGTACATAACAATTTTCATACATCACGATAGTTTTCAGTAACGTTCCTTTTTGTGTATGATTCGTGTACGATTTCTAATTATTTTTTGTATTTTTTTTTTTTTTTTTTTTTTTTTTTTTTTTTTTTTTNTTAATGATAATATACTGATATATATTTCTTTTACTTTTGGGGCAACTTGACGCGATTACACATTATTACGAAATTGCAAGGAAAGTAAGTGCCGCGTGTCATTTAACTATTATAACGGACTATTAGATACCAGTATCTATTATCGATTAACGATGCACACGATTTCGATTTTAACTAACGATAAAAGTAAAATCAACGAAGCTTTCTCTCTCGAGAACGGTCGCAAAAATTGCTGTGCGCGCGAATGTGGTTACATTGCATTTCTCTCCCTCGTGATTATTCATTGCACATTAACATAGATTTTGACAGAGATCAAGGTTTCGAAAGTGCTGATTACATGCGATAATATCAATTCACATTGATGTTTCTTTTTCTTTTTAATATTCCGACGATGAAGTAGTTTTTAAACGTATTAGTAAAAACAAAAATCTAGAAACGTGCATAGTTGCACTTAGCGACGAGCTTTGAATCATGTAGTTGTTTGCTGTTTGCTGACTCGATCTACCTCAGAACGAAACGCTGTACCTACTTATATGTATATATATATATTTGAATTGAAGAACGAACGGAAAGATCGCGAGCGTGGTGTGACGATTGTTACTGCTTTAGAAAATTTTAGACGGGAGGACGAATGTAGCTGTAACATGTTACGTCTGTGTGTCGTCCATATATTTAAAACGATCATAAGCCACGGTTAAGTAATTATATTTTGCTAATTACTAATATATAAATATATATAAATATATATATATATATATATATATATTAAATATGCAAGATGTTAATCTACATATTATATTCGTACTAATATTTTTTTAATCGATTTTTGTATGTAAAGTTGCAGGTTACAGTTAATGTGGAGGAAGTGGAAGATAGTCGTGTAAATTATACATACATGTATCTTCACATATAGGCAACCACACACACACACATACATGTATTAAACATATACAGAGTGAACCACGCAACGTGATCAGTTTAATTCATTCTGTTGTTAGTGGGCCGTTTGAAAAATTTTTTTTTTAGTATAACATAGTTCAAGGTGAGCTTTAAAATCACCCTAAAGTTCACCTTGAACCGTATTATATTATAAAAAAATTTTCAAGCGGTCCACTAACAACAGAATAAACTAAGTTAATCACGTTGTGTGATTCACCCTGTATGAATGAATATATACATGTATTAAACATATATGTGTATATGTGTGTGTGTGTGTGTGTATATATGAATATACAGATATGGTATAATCCTTATCAAATCGTTATGCAGTCTAATTTATTGTTACGCGGAATGAACCGCAAGTTTGATTTACCGTATGTAACATTTGGATAAATAGTCAACGATGTAATAGCAATGTTAGCACAAGACGTCATTCCGATACCGTAATCACGAGTGAGCAGTGAAGTGTTGCGTGTAATCAGAATTCTTTCTCCGAATGTGTAATACTATATGTTTGTACGAAGCGGCGCTTCGTTATTTCGACGATTCGAACTCCGGCACTTTTACGATGACATGTGCGTTCGCTCGTATGCTCAGCGTTTGGATTACGAATCCACCATCGATTCAGTGGAAATTGGCGCTCTCTTACGTGATTTCCTGCATTGTGTTGATTAAAACAACCGCTTTGAAAGTCACAGGTCGTATGTGCGAACGCATTCCCCGAATTGATTACGCTATAGTCGAATTAATTAATAAAAACAGCAACGGAGTGTGATAAGCGATGATATCTCGTCATGATGTAAGACCGATTGGAGAAATTGTCATTTTTATTCTAATAAAAAAGAAGTAGAGTAGCGCATAAGGCTTTTAGATATACGATCTGAAAATTAAAGCGAGTTAGAGAGAGAGAGAGAGAGAGAGAGAGCTTGAAATGCGCTGGTGTATTTGCGATAAACTGCCTCGACGGTAGTATAAAAAGACTCTACAATGTACGAAAGTTATGACAGACCTTTCGCTCGGATTTCATCTTCGGTGTTTACGAGTTTGATGTAATAAGATACGCGCGGTCGCATGTATAAATCCTCGTTCTTGGAAAGTTCAAAGGCAAAGGTCGAAATTGTAAGGTTCACCCTGGCTGGAAATAGGAAGTAATAATTCGCTAATGCTCTCACGGTGAACTGTCGTCGGAATCCTGCGGTCTCGTCAATGATGACTTATCAATGTGATTGATACAGTAAGACATTTTATGTTATAAACAGTCCACCCACATTTTTATATTACTTCAACGAGATGAATATGTTAAACAGTAATGTGTTAACAAGATGTGAGTAGGTTAATTTAACATATTTGTGCATATTTTAACATATTCTCCTTATTAAAGTAACAGAAAAATTTCGGCAGACCGTTTGTGATACAGAACTTTTTACCGTGCAGTGCGTTGGACGGAAGGTTGACGAATTATCAGTTATTAAAAATTGTTATCCACCTGTGATAAGCGGTCCTCTCGTCGCAACGAATACGCGTTCTAAGGAGAACTAAGGAGACGACGTACCTACGAGGATTCCGACGTCTAATCTCGTAACATCGAATTAGACATGTTGACAAGGTGAGAAGCCCGCGAGAAACGAAAACGCTTCTAACCTGCGATGTTGTGTAGTTCCGTATAAGGATCGGAAAATAAAACAGATCCATACCAAGCGTATGATCCATTGTCCGCTTAGTCTCGCAGGAAGTAGCTTCAAAGCTGAACGACTAATAAACAGTAATCTGAAATTATAATTTTGTAAATTGCTGCACTAATGGGATATATATATATAAGCAACGCTGAGTAGTTCCGTGTCACTTTGTAAGTTAAGATCGTGACCTTGTCTTCTTGAAGTAAGCGGCATTTCTGATGTTGGACGAGTTGTCTGTTGAAAAACAAAAAGAAAAGAGATATACGTATAAATGGCGAAAGCGGGTTTCTATCGGATGAGTAATCGTTGCTTCACGGGTGATTATATAAGGAATTTATGTATATTTGTGTATGTAAATTGTACATATAAATTTCTTATATAATGAAGGATATATATATGTGGAACTCCGATCGCCTCCAGAGATCTCATACGAAAATACGGCGTTGTTTGTATTGAGAATCATCAATCATGTCCGGTCGATCGCGCTCATTCAATCAGCATGACTCGACGTGGCGTGACGTTGCGTTGGGTCGTTCGATTTCCGCATATTTCCCTGTTTATAGATGCGTAACGCGATGTTGGATGTTACGCAAACTTCTTTTATCCTGAGGAATTCTCCCGATTTTTCATTTTCCACGAAACTAAATTCGAATTTGCGAGTATGTTTAGGTTTACAGAAATATTTCGTGGGGATTATTTATAATTTCTATGAGTGCGAATCTACATACTCTTTCACCCCGTTAAGCGAAACCTTGATATATATTTTCAACTTTTGTAACAGTGGCATAGGAATCACGTGAGATTGTCTAAGAAGCGCCACATTTAAGGCTTTTATCGATAAAAATAAGCCGAGAGAAAAAGAATATGAGCCATTATCAGTAGTGATAATACCTTCCTCCGGAGAATTAACATTCTTCATTCAAAGAGTTAGTCATTCACGATAATGAAATTATTATTATGTGATAACACTATCAAAAAAGTATCACATCTGTAAGTTCGCGTAAAAATTTCGCAGCACGGAATAGAACCGGCACTACAGCGCATTACCTGCTGGGAAGGTACATTTACGTTTTATGACTACAGATGGCGCATCGCATACTGAACCGTGTTCCCGGCATATTTGAGTAGTGTCGTTGCACGGGATATGTGTTGGAACGCGACTTTGATGAAATATCAACCTCGGAAGAAAAAAAGGTGTTTATAGCTGGAGACGGTTTTTCTTCTTCTTTTCTATTAAGGCAACTTTCATCAAAGTCTGGTGAAGATAATCGACGATTTAAAATTGCTGTCAGTCAGATATTACTTCCGATACAACATAAATATTCAAAATACACATCCTAGAGACATCCCAGAGATATCAAGCTTCTCTGGGATGTCTCTTTTGAACACTTCTATTGTATGAACTGTTCTATTTTGGTCGCTCTCCAGCAAAAAACTAGTCTGATTATATCATCATTTGTCCTTATTTCGCATTTGGTAAAGAAAAGGATAATAAATAATACAACTGGACTTGTGTTTTTAGATGGAAAGCAAACTTTTGCAAAACACAGATAGAAATTGTGAATTTGTCCATTATTGTTGAAGGTCAAGTTACAGAACTGAAATTGAGGGTTAGCACCTTTACTCAGCCTTATTATTCACCGATTAGCTTAATCGGATTTTAATGAAAGTCACTTGGAAATATTATTCACTAGGCTCGACTGAAAACCTATCGAGACTTTACTGTAACGCGTGCGCGGAAAGCGTGCCATCTAGCGACACAGTGTCCGAGTAACACCGTACTGAGCGAATATATCCGAACAGTGTCGTTCCGCGGAAGAGATGGTTCTTATTTCCGCGAGTAGCCGCCAAGTCCGCGTCGCATGACGATTCCGCACGGGACGAATGAACGTTTGCATGCTGCAGTTATGCGCTTCCATTGTGAAAACATAAGTGTTTTATGGTGATAATATGTCAAAACCAAACATAAGGAAGATAACGGCTGACCCTACGAAATGTAATACAGACTCTCGACGGCCGAGTGTGTTTGAGAGGTTGGGCACGAAACCAGCGACCGCCACCGCAGCCACAGCCCCTCAGAATACATCGGATTATTGTAGAAACTGGGCGCTCAACGGCAGTTGTTCGTACGGAAAGAGTTGCAAGTGAGTTCTGGTCGACTGATGCGGCACGAACGTTTTCCAAAATTTCGAATAAGAGCATTGACAGTTCCAATAGTACTTGTTCATGGTTTTACTGTTTCCCTGCCAAGTAGTTCCGCGTTTTCAGTATGAAAAAAATTCCGAAGCTGTACAAGTGTTTCTAAAGTAATTCACTTCGCCAGCTCTGTACTTTGTAAACGTCATGCCAGCTTTACAGATATTAAATGAAAGTACTTATATTCTACTTATTGCTGAGTATCGAGCAAGAATGATTTTTCATTTCTTTTCTTTGTTAATTAGATACGCAAACACACACACACTAATAAGCCCATCCAAACGTGCTAAGAAGGATAATGCAATCGCAAGTACAGCTGGGGTGAGTTAAAATACATGGTGGATGGCTGAGTGAAAATCAAAGAATTCTCAATGTCCTCTGTATTACAGCTTATTGAGGATCCTTTCAAACGGCTCACATCGAAGATCGTGAAGAAGGCGTCGCACAGCCCGGACTTAAATATAGAAGAGTGGAATCAGACAGATCTCGAATACGAGGACGAAAAAGTATTGGAGAGACGGCGACAACTGTTACAACGGGAATTGGAGCTACAAATGAAGAAGGACAAGGAGGTACATGGCAAAGAAAAAGTGAGGCAAAAGAAGAAAGCAATGAGCACCTCCTCCAGTTCACGCACCTCTAGTACATCCAGCAGTAGCAGCAGCTCCAGCAGCGAAGACTCGTCCTCCACTTCGACGTCGGATTCGCGAAAGAAAGTCAAGAAAATCAAAACCAAGCGACATCATAGCGTCTCCACCGATTACGACGAGGATAAGGAGAGAAAAAGAAAGTAGGTGGATATAATTTAAATGTTTCATTACATTGCTCTGATACTTAGAGCACACCGATTTTACGACTAATCCGATATTGAAGATAATGATTTCGTGTTAAGTGCAATTTTATTTAATTAAGACAGGTATTTATCGTAACAAATTTATAAAAGTTGCATTTTGTGCCGCATTACATAATTTTTTGTTAGTGACTTTTGAAAAGAAAATTTTTAAATTTTATGTAATATAAAATATTTATTTTTTAGTACAGTCCTTACAGTTTCTTTCAAAATTTTCCACATTTAATCATCAAAACTCAAACGATTCTTAATTTGATTTTACTTATAAATTTTCATGAATGGAAAATATGAAGAACTTTGCACAATAAATACATATTCATTTGCAAGATGCATTTGAAAATACTTTCATGTTACTTGAAATTTTGAACAAATTGCTCGGAAAAATCATTGAATTCTCAGGTAATTTTTTGGTCGAGATTTGAGTAGAAACCCTGATATTTCACCGCTCTACATTTGTGCGAATTCACAGGTTGAAGCTGAAGAGATTGGGCGCGAAGAACGAGAAAACCGTGAGCAAGAAGAAGCGCAAGCTCGAGAGCGGTTCCGCGAAGAAGGACCCCGCCGCGCGGTCGATCAAGAAGTATGGCTCGTCTTCCTCCGTGTCCAGGAAGCATTCCGCCTCGCTGCGCGCCAGGTCGCCCGCGATGCAGCAAGGCTCCGTCGCGTCCACGACGACCGTGGTGTTGGGCTCGTCGGTGTCGGTGGCGCACCACACGTCATCCTCGTCGTCCAACAAGAACCGGGAGAGGAACCGTAGTGAGTCGCCCAAGACGTTGAAGAACGCCCGGGAGATGGACAAGGAGGATGGCAGCAGGCACTACAAGAAGATGCGCGACGAGTGCCTGTCCAAGGACGAGTGCCTGTCCAAGGACACGACGGCCAAGTGCAAGTCGACCTTCGACAAAGTGGCGAAGGAGCAGCAGGAGAAGAGCCGCACGATCGATGAGAAGCAGCAGCTCAAGTCGGACGACGGTCGGCTGAGGTCCAAGTGCAAGGATAACGTCCGCTCGCGCACCCCGCCGCCGTCCAACAAGCACGCGAAGGAGAGCGCGTCGAAGAGCCGGCGCAGCCGCACGCCGGACAAGTCCTCGCGACCGAGAGGACGCGACCTCACCCCGGCGAAGAACCCCGAGAAGCAGGCCGGCGGCTCGTCGTCGGCTCGCGCGAGGGACGCGGAGAAGAAAGATTCGCACAACAAGCGGGACAAGAGCAAGGAACGGGAGGAGTCGCGGAAGAGCGAGCAGCCGAACGCCGGCAAGCAGCAGGCGAAGCAGGCGGCGCCGAGCGACGACGGCTACCGCAGGAACGCGAGCAAGGACTTGGACGAGAAGACGCAGAAGAGCCGCGAACGTCGCGAGAAGGAGACCAGGGAGGAGCCACGCGGCGGCCACTCGACGAGGCTGGCTCGCGACAAGGACGAGTCGCAGGAGCGCTGTCGGGAGCGGCAGCGAGACCGCGACCGGGAGCGGGATCGCGAAAGGGATCGGGAGAGGGATCGCGAGCGGGAGCGCGACCGAGAGCGCGACCGAGACCGGGAGAAGTCTATGAAGTCGCGGGAGAGGGACGTGCCGGTCATGTCGTCCACGTTGAGCTTGTCGGCGGACAAGAACTCGCGCTACGGCAGGAGCGTGAAGGACCGGCCGCTGAGCAAGGACGTGCCGCGCGAGCGCAGGAGCGAACGGGAGCGCTCGGAGACGAAGGCTCTCGCCGAACGAGAGAGGAGCTCGACGCAGCGTCTCGACGGCAGGTGGAGTATCGCATCTTTCCTTCTATTTTTACATTCGTCAAAGCGGCCCGATTGTTTTGATTGAAAAACTAATTTCACTCTAAATTCAAGAAACACGATTCCTGTCTGTGTGACGCAGGTACGAACGGGGAGGGGTCGTGGAGAAGGACGCTCCGGGGCGCAAGTCGAGCGTGAACTCGCCGAGGGATCGTTTCCCGCGGGAGTCGTCCCTGGACCGGGCGTCTCTGCACGACAAAGGCGCGGCATCGTCGAGCGGTGTCCAATCGACGGCTACGGTGCCGCCGGCTTCGTCGGCCGCGACAACCGGCGCGTCGTCCCGGGATCATCTGCTGGACATGGTGGACGGCGGTCACTACGACAGCAGGCACCGGCGGTTCGGCGTGAGATATGAGCGCGGCCACGCGTCCGAACGGAAGGATCGGATCGAGCGTGTGCCGAGCAAGATCGACCGGGTAGTGGATCGTCGGGACGCCGGCAGTCCGCGGCGCGCCGTAGACGTGGAGCGAGGCTTCAACCGGAACTACGTAGGTAGGATGTCGGAGCACTGGGACGAGCAGGAGGAGCCGTCGTCCGCCCACGTGGAGTACCGGGATCACATTCATGAGGAGGACAGGAGGAAGACCGTGGACGGCAGGCGGTACGAGAGCCCCTTCGAGGAGAGGCGCGTCGCCCGCGACGAGAGGGCCCGTGAATCCAGGTACGTCATCCAGACCACGGAGCGAGCGACCTTCGACGACCACCGTCATCATCACCATCATCATCGGCATCCTCTCTACGCCGGCGACAAACTGAGAAGCGCCGGCACCGGCGTCAGGTAGTTATCGAAATGTGACCGATCTTGTTGGATCGAGCGAAAATTATTGCCTGCGTTCGAGTGCCTCGTTTAAAGCGAATCTCAAGTGAGAACTGTTAATATCTGAGAAGCAGTTTACTAGTTTGCACGTGTTGATTTTTTATTACAGTTAAGGAAAACATTGAATAAATTCAAGGATATTTGTACTTTTTTGCTAATTAGAGACGAAGGCGTCTCCAACGACGACTGGGAAGCTCACCATCGTGACGTGGAGCACGGTCGGGAGCGGGGTTACCCGACGACGGTAGAATGGGACGAGAGGGAATGGCGTACGAGAGCGTTGTGGGAAGGTAGGGACAGTCTTCCCCGCTCGGAGATACACGATGACGAGTGGAATTCCCGATACGAAGGTGCCATCGCCGATTGGAAATCCAACGATACACGAAAGTGGGATAATCAGAATGTACATGTGCGATCGCATTACAGAAACGAGCGGTCGAAAGACTTGGAACTCGGGGAGACCACGCAACATGGGTAATGAACGACAGCATAGTCTTTATCATCGTATTCTTTATCGTTCGAACAGTTTATCGTACAAATTTCATGTTATCGAATCGAATTGTGAAATCTATCAGGTTTACTTGTAAGTAGACGACATCGTATGTATGACACTGGTATCAAGAGCGACATAGTTTTGTTAGAGGAAAGATGTGTTAATTAATCCAAATATAGATACATAAATTACCGTTTCATCTTCTTTCAGTAAAAGGCGATCGTACAATCCTCCCGAAACAAGAGAGGAGCCAGCCATTCACCCCTCCGCCAAGCAGGCCGCGATCTATGGCAGCATGAAGGAGGAACCCATCAACAAGAAGTTGATGGAACTTGCCGAGGGTAAGCTGAGCACGACCAGAGAAAAATCCACGGACAGTTTCCCGAAGAAGAACTCGCAGAAGGAGAAGCCCGAGATGAAGGAACCCGTAGTGACGGAACCCAAGCGCGCCATCGCCGACGAGTCCCTGCAAACTCTTCACACCGAGAGCGACCTGAGCGACATCAGTGACGATCCCGATGATATATTAGACATGGAGGAAGACAGCGCGGTATGCGTACCAAGTCTATCTTTGTTTGCAAATGGATTTTCACACGTTTTCCGAATTCTCTCGGCAGGATGTAGAGGCTGGTAAAACCAGGACGAGCAAAAAAGCGCCAGACGCTGCGCACGTGCAGTCGACCGCGCAGGAGCTAGCTCAGCTGTCGCCGAAAGAATCCGTGGAGGAAGCCATTTTCAGCGCGAAATCCAAGGATAACGCTGATACGGTGTCATTGAGGTAAAACGCGCGAATTATGTAAAATAAAACATTTCACCTTGATCTGAGCTGCACGCGATATCGTTCACAGCAGATTGGCGGCAGAAATTTAATTTTTTAACCGAATAACTAGTTATCCACCCACTTCTGCTTCTTACAAGATTAATCCCCGACAAGCCTGTGCATCATTATTCGCATTTCAAATGTACTTCAAATGTTATACACGATCATCATGTATCAGGAATATGGAGGACGACAATATGGAGACGATGGACTTCGAGGAGATTTCCGACGGCGAGTTAGAGGAAGACATCAAGACGAGCGGCAAAGGTTTGGGCGACGCTTTGGGCGTCGACTGGGAGAGTCTCGTGAAAGAGACGCAAGCGAGGAGAACGGTTGCGTCCACTCAGGATTCCGCGGAAAATCGCTGGCAATGCAAAGCTATTTTCTACCGGATCGGTGTGTCGAAGAAGTACGCGGGCGAGGATTTCGTAAAGAAGCTTCTGAAGAAATACGAGAAGAACGGTGAGTGTTTTGTCAATTGAAAGTGCGATGAGCCAGCTCTCGCACAAGCGACGCATTCTCTCCCTTCGTTTCTCCACAGATCACAGAGAGTGTCTGCTTGATAATATCGCGCTGATGCACACGGCATTCGCGCGGAATCGGCTGCTGCAAGATTTAGGCAACGGCGCGATGCATTCTGTGGACGATTCATTGTACAGGTGAGTCGAGTTAAATCAAGCTTTACAGATCAATCTTATGCATTATATTCAAACTTGAGTATTAACTAGTTAAAAGCTAAGTTAAAAAGTAAGTCACTTTTCAACTTTGTATTTACATCAGCTCCGTAATGCTTGTTTCTACTATTATAGTAGTATTTAAATCTAATCGACGATTATCCGAATGATTATCCGGCCAATTATCTGAACTGATCAATGTGATTGGCCAATTCTGTTGAGTTAATCATCGATTAGATTGAAATCATGATGGCAGACATAGATATAACCAAGGAGAGAGGACTAACGTTTCTAGTTGCAGCGATAGACTATTTTTAATCTTATAGGAGAATATAAATGTTTAACGTGTTATATCTTTCTACAAAATTAATAACTTTCAACTAGCTAACGCAATCTTACTCTAATGCAAGCAAGTTTTATAGATCGCTGACTTTCAACTAAAAGAAATTAATTTCCAACTTTGATTATACATTATTATAGAATTTTGCATGTTAATGTATCTAAGATACTTTTGCACCTATATTCGGTCGAATTCTGTTGCAGAAACAACACCGCGGGTTACGACGAGGACGTGGATTACGATTGGGAAACATTGAAGCCGAGTAACACTTTGTACGAGGAGGCGAAGTGTTTATTACAGCAAGTTGTATAAAGAAATAACAGAATTTAAATATATTATAACATCGTCGTGATCCCTTTATACCTTTTTTTATATTGATCGCACAAGCAAAGTATACATACACATGTACCGTCTTCTACGTTAATGTATCTCATGCTGTGTAATAGATCTTATCACGGTCTTCGTATCGTATCTAATCGACTGTTCAATTCAATTATTGATCTATCAGTCAAATGTAAAAATATCCAATCACACGCGTGTACGCACGCGATAATATATATAATCGTTTAATCGTAATTCGCATCACAGAATATTTACATCATATCGAACAAGAGTCTCCGATAAATCCTCTTATATACTTCAGGAAAAAATGCTGCTTCGTCATCGTTTAATCTGTGCTCGGTCGGAATAACGTTTACTCTTGTATATTTTACGATAATTGACTGTACTAGTATATGTACACAAAGTTTGTATCATACAATGTATATTTTGTGCGTTACAGCATCTTGGTCGCAGATCGAAACTGATATAATTTTAGTGAGCTCAATTCCCAACGCTTTAAGTGCGTAAGAGAGAAAGAAAGAATTCTACCTTGAACATCGCGTCTCGCGGGGATTATTAGCGCGTATCTCGGATATTTACATTCAAGCTCTGCGAAATTGTATCGGTGTCAATCGGTGCCAGGAGTCAAGCAATGAAACTAAAAATTGTAGTAGCAAATAACATCTCGCGCCCTTTATAATCATCTTCACGTACATGTAATATATTCATATCATGTATAACAATACATTTCTTATATATTATATATATATATATATATAATATTAAGTATTATATATATAGTTTTTTTGTATATATGTGTACATATTATATGTACATATACGCATTATGTTTTCTGTGTATATGTATGTATACATATACATATATATATTTATATATATATTCAGCATCGAATGTAATGCAATAAATACGGCTGTTTTAAGCGGTGTCAATTTGCATCAGTCACTTCTGCGAACGAGAGTCGCACCAACATCGTTTTGCAATATACTCATGGCTTTTCGTAACAGACGCTCGTTGTCGTCACTCTAAAATAAAGGACAGAAATGAAGGCAATGATAAAAATACGTATAACGAATATAAGTGAATTACCTGTCGTACTTTCACATGCTGATGCGTCTGTTGGTTGTCATCTCTGGAAGTCTGGCGTTTAGATAATTCAAGATTCGTACGATACAGCTCGTATAAAATGAGTCCTAAAATATTAGAAGGATGTTTGAAAAATTGCTTACTTTAAAATTTGAACATTGACAAATTACGCTTGTAACTTGTCAATACTGCTAACGGGAAGTTACAATTTCCCAAAAGTTTCTAATTTGTATGTTATTTTAGCATAAACTAAATGGCTTCAATGGTTCCAAAGTTGTCATAAGCTACCAGGGAAAAGATAGAAATTTTAATTCGACGTTTCATCATGTGTATTTCTGATATTTTTAATCGAAAATTGAAAATATATTTTATTTACATTTATAGAAGTTATGGAAAAAATTACCCTTTTTTATAGAATCTCCAGAATTCAAAACGTCCAGGCTGGAAAGCACATCGTAACAGAATGCTTTTTTAATTCTAAGTTCCTCGTCGGTGAGATCTGACATGTTGTACAAATGATACTTCGTTACACGTCACGCTTAATCACATTGTACAATATCAAGGTAAAATGAAAAGTTCTCGAATCATATTCAAGGGAGCTACATGAATAGGAAATATAAGACAAGATCTTACCGTCCCACGTGAGATCGGGAATTCTACCGAAATAGGAGATTACACGATACTTGGCATCCATCATGATGTAATTACTAGTTGGTATCAATTTGGGCAATGTCATTTCAACGAATCTCGGAAATTCTCGCGGAGCGTTGCACGCAGCTTCGAGCACAAATGCGTTCAGTACCGAACGAATGCTTTCAATCTGCAAAAAGGTAATATATATGTACATACTATTTATGTGCTTATTTTAAATATAATATTCAATTTGTAGATACACATTTTCACCTGTCTGTAGTTCACACCAGTCTGGCATTTGTTGCAAGTCCAGGAGGACTTGTGGCTGAGGGGATCGCGAGGAAACAGGTGTCCCGAGCAACTGTCCTTGGCGCAGAGGAGCGCACCGAGCCGGGAGCCGAATTCCTGAGGAGCAACGCATGATCGTGCATGAAAATTCCAATCGTGGAGGATGCGTCGCTGCACTAACGTACCAAGGGATCGGAGCACCTACTGCAGTTGCAGGAGAAATGTTTGGTGGCCTGCAGAAACCGTCTTCTGTTGCGCGTGTCCCACAGCAAATTGGTGTAAGACATGGTGAGCTCTTCGCCGGCCGCAATGGGCATCGCTGCGCTCACGTGCAGCCGTCGCTGGTTGTCGAAGTGATGCCTGGTGTTCGGCACGCAGCAATGATTTTGCATCGCGCCTGTCGGATAAAGACCGCGTAGACTCACCGTACGATCCTCGTCCCGCATGACCACGACCTCGAAGGAGTTTGTATTGAAGACTTCGCTGGTTCGCTTCATGAACGCCAGTTGCTCCTCGGAGGGCAGGTGGGTGACGTTTCTCTTCAGCAAGTCTATCTTTGGGTAGGAATTTAGGGGCATGTGGTTACACAAGGTGAAACAAAATATTCAATCCTGATTTATATACTATATTTACACACATATGATACAAGATGAAGAAATAATCATGGGTGTACGCAGAGAGGAGACGGGGGCTCTATTGCTTCGTCCTAAATTTTGGCAAGGAGGAACAATGAAATTGTGAAAATCTCGAAAGTAAAGAAATGTAATTGATATATTAAAATTTGCAACTATATTATATTCATATCACGTTACAGTCGAGAGAAACTCGGCTATAAGAAGACATCTTTAGTAATCTCCGTGCGTTAAGCCCTTTGGAATTGAACAGTCGAGGAGAACACGCGGGAGCGACTCGATTACCTCATAATTAGGAACGAAATTCGAGTGACACTGGAAGATGGCCAAGACCCGGCGCTGCTCCTGCGAGAGGGCGAGGCTGCGTATCAGCACCACCGTCAGCAGCAGATCCTTGGACCAAGTGGAACCGCAGGTAGGCTGCCACTCTTGAAGGAACCGGCACTCGGCCCGTGCGTGCACCTCCGAGCTCTCGCATTCGGTCGAGCAGATCGGCAGGCCGCAGCCGTGATCGCATGGGAAGAGCGGGCAGTCGTTCTTGTAGCAGACCACGCACATCGGCAGGCACTTGTTGTAGCATCGTGGTCCCAACAGCAACGGCGCGTCCGTGAAGATGAGCTCGCCGACTCGGATGTCCCGCGTGGCGAACATGCCGCGGCCGCTCAGGGGGGACCGCTCGATTCTCCACGAGGGAGGCTCATCTTGCGGAAGATCGTTATTTCGCAGGTGGAGCTGGAGCAACTCCTCCGTCTGCCGTGGCTCCATCGCGGATAGGATACTATGCGACGTCTTGATATCTCCTCGATGATACTGATTGCACTGATTTGTTGTTGTTGACGAGCACGTCTTTTGTACCGTTTTAACGAGGCAGCGAGCCAATTCGGTGTTCACTTAACTGCGGAGGATAAGAAAATAAGACTTTGTAGCGATCCCCATCGACTTTTCCAAATTCCTCGGCAGTACCGAGACGTCGACATTAGCGGAATCTGCGTTCTGTTTATTGCGAGCGTAAATTGTTCATTGCAAATACTGGCATGACTTTAGTGAGATCGATTTTTGACGTTGTGAAACTTTCAATGATCGGTCGCGCTGTTCTGCCACAGATAAATATTTTGATCTTATATTATTATATGGAGGTACCAGAATCAACGTATATCCTTAACATTCGGATTATCCGGGATGTTCTGAGATGAAACGTATGTCACAAATGTGAAAATGTCGGGGGAAGTTCTTATTTATAGTGATTTTTCAATTTTCCACGCAACATCTTTGACTAAGCGAAGCTTAAGGAAGTTGTCAGTCGATATGAATTTGATTAGAATCCGATGAAACTTGACCTGCATGTACATTGAAATTTGAAATGTTATCTAATTGCTCGTGCAATTAGAAATAAGATTGACCATTCGAAAAATTGTACAAGTCTTTAAAATAAACTTCTGTAAAAGTAAAGCCCGTTTGAAATTGATCGAAAAAATAATCATGTTATTCATTTGGTCGTTCGACGTTTAGTTTGCGAAAACTCCCGCTTTTTCGATCGCTATATCTCGGAAACTATTAATGCTTCGATATTTTCGTATTTAATCGTAACTTTCGTCTTAAAATGTCTCAAAGAATCTGTCATGTTAAGGACACATGGTGATTCTGGGACATCCTATGTTTTTACCTATTAAAATTTAATTTATTAAAATACGTTTTACCTATTAATTTTTTTGACAATGGTAACAAATGTAATCGTTAGTTTACATACGTACAACATTAGTTTTAAAAAATGACGCGTTATTTTCTAACTCTGAAAAATATTACGTGCAGATGTAAATAGAAGAAAAAAGATTTTAACTTCATGTACAAAATCTGTTTTTTTTTTTTAACAACTTTGAATAACTGGACATTTAAAACGTAATATTTTATAGGTTTGAAAAGTAATGCGTTACTAACTCTGCTCTTTACTATATTTTACATATTATATTATTCTAATCTCACTCTCTCTAAGTAATACTGGCGATGGGCTCGACCCCGAATTCATAGATTCGTCCCGAATGCTGTAACTTGCAATTAGTTTAACGATCTCCGTGCGTAGGGTTTAACGACTGTACAAGCTTAAGCTCGGGTTCGATGGCAGGGTCGCAAAGATACGTTTTCATAACGTAGTACTTATATTAGACCTTTGCCAAAAGCGACTATATATCATCAGTGTCGGAAGAGCCAGTTCAGCCTTCGCAATCCCTACGCGAGTCTCGTTATGAATGAATTGCGCAATCAGGGAGTCGAAATTGACGTCTACCAGCGCATCGTGTCACGAAGCGCGCGAGGGACACTGATTTCGACGAGCTCGCGCTCGAGTGCGTCTCTTATAAATCCCGGCTGAAAATAGAATTATGTTTTGGCAACGTATACTTCGGCGGTGAAAGCGGCGCAGACCCCGACCTAGTTTATAGCGCGCGGGCTATATGCGAGATAACAACATTTCGTACACTATCGATTCGCCCTGCGAGAACGCAATATCGATCCTTCCGCCATCTCTGACCATTCCGTGACTTGAAATATGTTTCGTCTACGCGTTCTGGGCCGCGCAATTTCTACAGAATGCTCTGCAATTGACAATAACGGTACAAAGACTAAATAATTAGGAAGCCGTTGATAACAAGCGTTAAATAGAAGAAGCAAAGAAGTCTCTTTCGGGCAAAATAAGCAGCAATATTTATGGCATCAGAATATCGTCGCAATTCTCATCTTCTAAATACCGACAAAATGCTTGTAATACGAGGACACGTCTTAACATATTAATACTTGTCACGATGCAGACAATGTATATTCTCTCTGTCTGGGGAATCTCACATATTATTGTATCGTTGATAACATAACGATATCGGCCGACAAAAGCGTTATTTCGAATTCTCTCTCGGAATCTGCGGATATTGCGCTCGGCAAAAACGGAGCCGCTCGTCAGGACGCAATTAATATCGACACGGCTCGGTTTGCTTCACGCAAGCGTATCCGATGTGTAATGTCTATTTGTATGGTCGGCCGGTTGCTAAGACTACGCTTGAGTCGCCGTCGACGGGCAGGTAGGCAGGCACACAAGGGGTATATCGTGAGCGGCATCGCCGGGAACAGCGTGCATACAACGTATATACACACGGTTTATGCCGCGTGCGATATATGCGGCGTACCGTTGTGTACAGATCGTCGGAAGTGCCGTGTTCGACGACGACTCGCGCACTGCCTTTTTTTATTGCCCTCGCCGGTCGCACAGACATGAGAAGGTAATAACATGGCAAGGCTGATCCGTCGGACTCCCTTCCTCCCCCCCTACCCGAGCCGGGTTTCGTTTTTCAGTCATCCTCCAGGTGCTTTCGCAGTCGTTCTTCCGTAGTACCGATCAAGTGCAATTAATTGTCTCTCTTTCTATATATATCTTTGTTGCTCTCTCTCTTTCGGGCGCGCGCGCTGCCAGCGGCGCTAACGATGACGCTATGATCCTCGGGGAAGGTCACGGACGAGCGTTGGCACAGTGACGTGACTCGATATCGTATCTCGCTCTAGTCCAATCAAGTTGCGATTTTGTATCGTTGCCGAAAGAACGAGGCTTGCGCCAGATCTGCGGAATCGACAGATCTTTCGGTCGAACTTACTTATATACGTACTGCGAGCATACACACAAAGAGACAGACCTCATCTTCCCACAATCAATATATTAATACTAACAATATTAATATTTATAATAGCATTTATAATCACACCTGTGCTTTTCTTTTATTCCACACGGCTTTTTTAATTTTTTCCTTGATATTACAAATAAGAAGTAATCTTAATTGAATCTAATGAGAGAAATAGTTTTCATTTAATTTAATTTTATTCAACAAAAAAACTCGAAAATTGATAACTTTTACAAGAAAAAATCCTTGTTTGGGTCTGTGAATTTCATTCTTGAGAATTTATTTTACTCTTCAGTGCACTTTGCAACTGATATACTCGTGCGATTCACGTAAGACCGGCGCTTCCTTCATGTACGCCTCCTTCGTGTACGTATCATATTGTAATCGTGCTGTAAAGGTATGTAAGGCTATTTAGGCTGGCTTACAAGCGGAGTTATTGCGCGAGGAACGCGTGCTTCGTTCTAATGGTACTGTCGACCACGATGACGGTATTCGCGCTGGATTGCAGCGGAGACCCTTGCATGTACGGCATCTGTTTGGACAACGAGAACAGGTATATAAATGCGATTTTGCATTATGTATCACGGCGATTGATGAAGACTCCGACTCAATGAAATGCACGCTCGTTTCCGATGGAACTCCACGACGACGGCGACCCCCCGTCTGTACTGCAGCAGCACCTACTCCTGTTACTGCATCGACGGCTACACAGGGATCAACTGTGAGATCAATTGGGACGAGTGCTGGTCGGATCCTTGCTTCAACGGCGGCACGTGCAACGACGGCATCGCCTCGTACAATTGCACGTGCACCGACGGTTTCGTAGGTAATGCACAATATTACTCTTTCTTTGCTTGTTATTATCGATGAATTTCGCCAGGTGTAAATTGCGAGCAAAAGTACAGCGAGTGCTCAAACCACCCGTGCCTCAACAATGGTACCTGCGTCGATGACGATGGCTTCATTTGTCAATGCCCGGATGGATACTCAGGTATTTTGTCGAGCTTCATCCGATACATTTTCACATCGTTCACGGTGTTTTTTTCTTCCAGGAGACTACTGCGAGATCGACGCCTCGGTTTGCAACGAGACCATCTGCAAAAATTCGGGCGAATGCGTCGAGGGGCCCGGGTTCTCGTTCTTTTGTCGTTGTCGCGAAGGTAAGGGTCGTGAGAATATTTCATTCACCTGAAATTGTGTTGCTTTCTCCTTTTTCTCACTCGTGATCGTGTGATCCGACCGCAGGATGGACCGGCACCCTCTGCGACGTGGACATCGACGAGTGTCTCACCTCACCGTGTAAGAACGGTGGGCTCTGCATCAATGTCCCGGCTTCCTACACTTGCGCTTGTCTATTCGGTAAAATGTCAAGTTAATTGATAAAATTAAAAATTATATCACTATCAATTATACCGCGAATTATTAGTTGATAAATCGTCCACGCTGAAAGTAACTGATCGTCGAATCTCTCTTTCGAAGGTTTCACCGGGAAGGATTGCGACAAGACGATCGTGCCGTGCGACGAGAATCCTTGCCAAAACGGAGCGGTGTGTCTCCTGGAGGACGAGCGTCCGGTTTGCTACTGCGTCCCGGATTATCACGGCGCCCTGTGCGAGCTGCGGTACGACGACTGCGAGTCGAAGTTCGCTCACTGCGGCAACGGCGGCACTTGCATCGACGGTATCAACAGTTTCACCTGCTCCTGCTCGCCCGGATACGGCGGGCCCATGTGCGAGTACAGCTTTCCCAGCACGAGCACGGGCTTCGTCGAAGCGGAAGAGACGTCCGAGAGTCCAAGCGGAACTACCGTCTCCGTCACTTCGCCTAAAGACTCGACCTCGATGTTGGACACTTCCGTTTCTTTGTCGTCGACCTCCAGCTTCACCACTTACTCAACGTCCCCGAGAACGAGCGTTGAGCCTTACAAGACGACGTCGACGTACGGAGGCCCTCTCAGCAGCGCGGAAACCGCTGCTTTCCCGGTTGATGTCACCTCGACGGGCTTCACGACTCAGGGTGATTTTATCACGTCGGAGTTTGCAACGTCCGCCGCTACCGAAGGCTACTCTCATGCCGTAACCGAGACGAGAAGTACCGAGGTTTACCTTCCGACCGGGAGGTCGATTCACGATGGCGAAGTTACCGGTGACTACGATCAGACGACCAAGATGATGTATCCAACAAATTTCTCCGATAGAGCGGATGAAGACGCAACGCGTGTGACGACGGAGTACGTGACAAGCTCCAAGTAAACAGAGAGTATATTATGATCTTCGCTTAAAATGTCGTGATTTAAAAAAATGATTATCACAATTATTATATATATGTATGTACGTGTACAGATATATATGTGCATTATTATTCTTACTATAATTACTTTTCTTAAATTAATTAATATTGAAAAATAACAATTTAAATAAATTACAATTATTTGAGAATTATAATTATTTCAATAACACAACCTTTTTCATTTTTACTTAGCCGTCGACCCACGACTATTTCTACGGACGAAGGGCAAAAAGACGAAAGAACGACCGTGACAAGCGTCACCACGGACCACGGTACCGACACGACGGAATCGACGCAGAATAGAAGCACCGATCTCGGGACCACGATCGCAGATTTGCCCCAAACCGTTCTACCTCTAACCACTTCCTCATCGACACTGCCATCGGTGTTAACTTCGACTGGGAAGTTTGACACTCCGACGACGATATCTTCCGTCGCGTTAACGTCCACCAGCGTGTCTTCGTTGAGCCCTGTGACCGAAGCCAGCAGCACCGTAGAAATCGGCACTTGTCATGGAAGTCTGTGCTCTACGAGTCCCACCACTACACTGACTCCGCGCAATGCCACGGATGTGAGTAGTTGATGCGGCAACAGTCGGGAAAAGGAATAAAGAAGAAGAATAATTGTAATATTGCGAGACAATCGGAAGCTCTTCGAAGCACCTCGAATCACTTGAGAAATATCGAGTGATGATGTATCCATTATTATTACAGTACGCCGAAGGCTGCAAGACAGATTCGACCGTCACGCAGGCGGCCTTCAATGGCAAATCCTTCGCCAGACAACGCGTCGAGGTGATAATCACCGACCAGAAGAGCGCCACGCTGCGAATTTACGTCAAGCTCAGGACAGCGTTCAAGAACGGAATAATATTGCACGTTTACTTCGACAACGAGAGGTATTCTCTGGTATATCTGGAACTCGGCTCGTTAAAGTTCCAATTTTCTTGCGGTCTGGAAACCATGCTGCTCGGCGAGATCGATGCCGCTATCGACAATGGTCACGAAGTCGGCATTGACATGAGGTACATTGCAAAGTTCTTTTCATCTTCCCAGACAGCACGATGTTTAAAACCGAGATTTGAGATGTCCGTGTTGTCTGGGTCCTTCGAATAAGTCGATAAATAATATTTATATTACATGTATATTTTTATTTTTTAAATGCACTTAGATGCGTAGGTTGTTTTGCACTTGAAAATGTTAATAAAAATATGCCATATTCTGTTCTTGTTATATGTATGTGCAGCTTTCAGTACGTTGCCAACGACGAAAATGAGAAATGTTTTGCCAAATTGCTGGTCAACGGCACCATGGCGGTGACCGGCGAGCAAATACTGCCACAACGAGGGATGGTCCCCAAACACGCCAATTTGTACATCGGAGGCATCCCGTTAACGTTCTCACATTACTTTCCTCACGTAGCTATGGGATTTATCGGTTGCATGGATTCTCTGAAGGTACGTCTTTGGCAAAGTGTACCGCAAATTCAGAATAAAATTTAATCTTTCGATTTTATCCGAAGCAATTCTCTTGAATTCCCGGTGCAATCACGTCGCGTACTGACGATATTTCAATTGCAGGTGAACGACATTTCGCGACATTTCATTCACGACTCCACAGAAACGTTTCAGATCGAGGAGTGCACGTCGTTCCTGTGCCTGTCCAATCCGTGTCAGAACTTCGGCGCGTGTGAAGAGAGCGACGGTAGAATTCGTTGTAGATGCATAGCGGGGTAAGAAATTATCCAGCGATTGAAACTATTGGGAACTTTTTATTAACTTTTCTAATTTACATATCTCTCGTAAGGAACAATAAAGAGTAGAATTAAGTAACATTTATGTAAATTTTATATATCATATATTAATATAAAATTGTTTTATGTTGTGTAATATACGACAACGCAGAAATGAATATGACATATATACAGTTACACCGGGCCTCTGTGCGAACATTCGGCGTGTAACGATAATCCTTGCTCGATGGGTGCGACGTGCGTGAGCTCACCGGGCACCGGCTTCATCTGCGTCTGCCCCCTCGGCAGCCACGGGCTTTTCTGCGAAGAAGGTAATAAACTGCGACGCTCTTAACACAAGCGATCCGTAACGACAATTGCTCGTCCTCAGACGCTATCCTAGTACGACCGGCCTTCTCGGTCCTCGTTCCCGGCTTCGCCTCGTACATCGCTTACGGCGTGCCGACCTCGGTCAAGGACACGATGGAGCTGAAGCTACGACTCATTCCCCGCACGTTCGACCAGATCTCGCTGATAGCGTACTTCGGGCAACGCGGTTTGCGCCGCGACGCCTCGGATCATCTCTCGATAACGTTCGTTCGCGGCTACATCATGCTCACGTGGGATTTGGGCTCCGGTGGGTGCGACTGTTTCCTCAATCCCGAAAAATCTTATCATCGGGGTGAGCGTTGTGTCTTCTTGGGTCGCAGGAGTGCGAAGGATCTTCACCAGCGACTCGCTGAGTTCCACGTTGGGATCGGCCGGTAAGAGCAAAACTTACACGGTTCGGGTTGGAAGAAGAGGCAAGGAAGCCTGGCTCGCCGTGGAGGGTGTGGGCAACGTGAGCGGCCAGGCGGTAGGATCGATGACTCAGCTGGACGTATCGCCCGTTCTCTACATCGGTATGTTGTCACCGAGCTTCTGCGACTTCAATATTATCTTTCATCGCGTATTTTGATGTAGAAGCTAAATGTGGACCGTTCTATTTTTATCGGTCGCGATCTTGATATCTTGGCAAACAACGGTCGGACCTCTTTCCATCCAATTTTCGTTTAATTAGTTCATCAAATATCGGGTTGATTCGAAGGTATTTTCCCATAAATACTGATCAAGTATTGATGTGAACAAAGCATTTCTCGATATACAAGAAAAAAGAAAAATATCAGCAGGCAGATAAGAGTCGAACGCTGATGTTGGGGCGATATTGATGTACAAAAACAACTTTGTTGTTTAATCTATAAGAACCGCAATGAATTCATAATTTTAATAATAATCTTCGTAATAATTAAGAATCAGAATAAATTAATTCTATCGAAATTAAATGTACGGCGCAAAAATAAGGCCCGAAACGTACACTTAATATTCCGTTAGAATCAATTTATTTTTATAATTTTGATTTTCATGTATCTGGACATAAGGTTAAAAACGAAGTTGTTTTTACACATTATACATATAAATAAGAACGAAAGAGACTGAAGTGAAAGTATAAAATTCTTGCAGGCGGATACAAGTCGAAGAACTTCGAGACGTTGCCGCATGACCTGCCTCTGCACACCGGCTTTTCCGGATGCATATTCGACGTCGAACTGCGCACGGACACCTCGATCCTTCCGCTGACCGGCTCCAGCCCCGCTACCGGCCGCGGTGTGGGCGAGTGCAATCGCAATGAGTGCATCCGCCACTCGTGCAAGAACGGCGCTGTGTGCTTGCACCATGGAGCGTCGTACAGGTGAGAATTTGACGTGCGAGAAAATTCGCGTATAATCAGTGCTGCCATCCAGTTGCCGGAACAAAAAAGATAAAGTAGCGACCGCTTCTTCGTGGAGAAGATGACAAAACCTCTCGACTAGTGACAGTCGCAAATCACATTTTTGCCCGAGAATAAGGACATTTATTAAGCCATGATAGTGAATTTTTCAGTGATTCGTCAAGTCACTGGATGGTAGCGCTGCGTATAATAATACATAATTCCTCAGGAGTACAACGATCTGTCGACCTTTCAGTTGCATTTGCACAAAAGAATGGGTCGGACCTGACTGTTCCATTCCAGTCTGACTCGTCGTCGGAGAACGATCTTCCGGACGCCGCGTACGTTCGAATTTTCTCTGCCAATTATAGCGATTAGCGTGAAGGAAAAATTAATCGACGTTGAGAGACAATGTTATATTAACGATGTGTGTGTGAATACGTTATTCTTACAAATTTTATATTATCATAGCCGTCCCTCGTAACAAGCATAGACTCAGCTTACATCGGGGGCGTCGTTCTTCAGTCGCGAAGTGGCGGAGTGCGAGTTCAGATAAACGAACAGCATCGCCGCCGCGACACGCGCCTGCAGGTCGTGTTTGCTATACTCATGATGCCACTCCACGTTGCCCCAATGAGAGATCTGTGCATGATGATATTTGATAAGAGCGAGATCACACCGCGTGATAACAAAGCACAGAGGCTGTATCGGTACAGTTTTACTTCAATCAAACCAATATCAATTCAATCATCTAGGAGGATCAGCCTGTCGTTTAAAAGGAATCGTACTGCATACCTGATATTCCTCCTCTAGTCGCGAAAGACTCACAGCTTCCGGGATGTTAATTGTTCTCGCAACCGTGGCGAGAGTTAGAATAACCGATTTCAATCCATCCACCGCGTATACGAGACCTGGGTACAATCAATACGGTTAATGGACGAAATATGAAGAAAATAGGGGTTTCCTCGTCTCCTTGCAAGCTCACATTACCGTAAATACTGTTGAAATTATGCGACATCAAGTGTCTCGTTAACGTAGTTTTGGTTTCCGATGACACAGCTGGTGCCTCTATACTCTGAGTCCCCGCGATATTCACGTCGTAATGCTTGCAAAACCAACGAACTATAGGCTCCCACTTTTCAACTTGTAACTTATACAGCTCATCTGCCTCCTGAAGTCATAGGTCATTCGTCATAATCAAGGCAACTTACATCGTTGCATATCACAGCGAAAGACATGGAGATTTGTACAAACACTTTCTTACACTGGAATAAAACAGTATTGTGTCCATTTCTAAACAGTTCACTATGTGATGAACCAGATCTACTTTAGTGTGGTTTTGCGGATTGTCCAATACAGTATTGCACAAGGCTGTCTGTAATAGAAAAAAAGAAAGGTATGTTGAGGCATGTAGTTATTTATATTATTTATAATATTTATATATTATATCCATTATTTATAAAATTAAGATGATTTTTCTCATCTTTTTGCCGATCATACCAAATGCATACTGCCTCGGTCAATGATCTCCTTCTGCGCGTCCCATTCAGCAGCTACTGCTAAGGCTAAGGGTTTGCTATTCACTTCGAATACTCTACCCTGCGGTGTCTTCAGCTTCCTCTGATCCAGCATAATCTCAAACTTACTGCCACTTGAAAGTATATTCGTCCTTCTATAAAATCGTTTCACAGTGGCTACAAGTGTTAAACTGTTTTACACACCATTTAGCGGCACTAATAATATATTTAATAACATATTACATCACATTTATCAAAGACATGTCAGATGTCAGAGACAAAACAAAAATTTCTGATTTAACTTTACCAACTTAAATAGTATATCTTGAGCCAAACATAACAATATATAACGATTACCCATGTTTCTTATTGCCAGAATAGTTGGTATAAATTTAATATATCTAAAATTATACATTTTTCTGACTAGATTGTTACAGATATGCGGCATGGTAAAATACTATTGTTGTCAATAACCAAGTTTTCTTTAGGTTAGGTTTCGATAGACAGCGCCTCCAATCTTAAAAAGATTAACTCTCAAAAGCATTTTAAACCACTTTAGCAGAGATTCAAACCAAATGGTTCGAATCTCGGCTAAAGCAATTTAAAACAATTCGAGTCTTCGCTAAACCGGTTTTGCCGGGCGAACATCTCTGTGGTGTGAAACATTCCCTTTATACTCATAACTCTTATTTTTCTGCTCTCGTTGGTGATGTTGAATGTTATCCATTAAAAATATGCGTTGACACTGGCATTCTTGTTTATGTGCGCGACTTATGAACATAAAGACGATCCTGTATTACAATTATCACCTAAAAAATGTTGGGGTATGAGCAATAAGATGTTTGAGAGTAATTATAAAAAAAAGCAAGAACAAGGGAGTTAGAAAAACTAAAAAAGATTAATATAATCACGACCGATACAAAAAAAGAACTAATTGCGTAACATACGGATATATATTGTCCGTATTCTCGAACTCGTAAAAATTTGCGTTAACTTGATGTGTCCTTTCTCACGCAGCTGAAAAAGATCAAACCTGAGATGAATTAAAAGGACAACATATTGCCGATAATTGGCTGTATAAAATACGAAATATATTTACTTTTGTGGTATAACATATAATTTAGATAAGTATACATATCTTGTGGGTGTTACATAACGTGTATTATAAGAATGTACACATACCGACCTTAATGTCGTTGCATTCCCTAGCTCTAGCTCCAGGGTCATCAAAAGTGCCCAATCGGACGTGTCATTACATCCAAACACGACGCACCCAATTGGACACTTTTCAGCAGCTTTAGAGACAGGGAGTGGTTTGGTACTAATACCGGTTTGTGTATATAGCAAATATAAAAGATTATAGTTTACAGTTTAATAAAAATATATACAGAGAATAAGAAGGCTGGTCTCTCGATGTAACATCCCAACGTTTCTTGTATCCTATCTGTTAAGAAGTTAATCGCACTTGCGTCTTTGCGCACAAAGCGTTTTTTCCCTACGGTATACACATTCTACGTTTATAAACCATATTAACACAATTGTCAGAAGGAAAATGTTATTGTTTGTTGTTCGTTACGCGTGGAGAATTTCGTTTCTCGTGTTTCGTTTTCTCGCTCGATATCAGCGCTACGAGAGAGATCCCTCGAGAGGAAACTGGTTTACGTCCTTTCTCTGACACAGTATTATAATAAAAAAAAAAAAAAAAAAAAAAAAAATTNTCAAAAAAGTGATAATTCTGTCAATAAGAGATTTACTAAAATAGATGCACGGACATCTCTCGCAGGATCGAATGTAAAAAGAAAGAGGTAAAAAAAGTCTCGAAGAGAAAACGATCTTGAAGTCAATTTCAAATCGCGTACTAATTACAAATGCGAAGGACGAGAGGGATTGTCTCTCGTAGATTTCCAACTTTTAACTCTTCGTGTTCCTCGTGTGATATAAATCCGATCCCGGCCTCACATCAACTTAAAAGCACAATACAGACGCCACACATACACACACACACACACTGCCACACCGGCAATATCGACAAAAAGATCTCGGTTCGATCGAGAGAAGGAGAGAGAGAGAGAGAGAATGTATCCGTTAAAAAGAATTTCCAAGAATAAAAAGTTTCCCACTGGCGCTGGTTAATGCGCTATTGTAAAAACACGATACACATAAACGATACATACTTCGTCCTTCGACTTCGGCTATTAACGGCACGCGGCTGTTGCTAAGCAGCAGCGGAAATCACATCTCCGCACGGAAAGAAAAAGATACCACATATACATACATACACATATGTATACGCGTGTGTGCCTCGAAGATCACATTTTGCATGAACGTAAGAAAACACAATCGATTATACTCCTGATGAAAATCATCCCTGGTGTCGTCCGTTCACCGCTACGTATCTACGCTTTCTTAATAGTTAACCTCCTTATGTATATGCATACGAATGTCCATTGAGAGACATTACGAATGAACGCTTTTTTTTTTGTTGCGGAAGCACCCTGAATCACTGAGTAACAATCGGAGACCCGCGTTCTCGCCGGAGCGACGCGGCCGTCTAAATGCGCGACTCTCTTCATTATATAATTCAATATATATATAAACGGGAAAAGGCTTGCGTTCCGAGCACAGACGCGAAATGGAAATTTGAGCGCGTTGGAGCGGCGCAAGAAAAAAGGAGAGAGAGAGAGAGAGAGAAGAGAACACGGGCCAAGATTGATCGATCGTCGGTCGGCAACGCGAGTTCGTCCCACTGGGTCCATTTTCTAATCGCTATCTCTAAGTTTGATCGGAAGGACGATAAGTCTTCTTCGATGCTACACGATGCGCGTTTGGACTAGGTTCGATCGTCGTGGCTCGCCACCACCACGACATGGGTCTCTCTCTCTCTCTGCCTCAGACGTAGCTCTCGTCGTCGACGACCGATCTGCCGTGGCCCAGGTGCCTGGTGGTGATGGGCGCGCGAGGCTGCGGCGGTGGACGATACGGCGGCGGCGGCGGCAGTGACCTGGACCTGCCCGCTACCTTGTGCCGGTCCTCCAGGTTCATGTGCACCGGCGGCAGGTGCCTGAGCCGCGGCGGCAGCGGCGGCGGCGTCTCCGGCCACGTCCTCTCCTCCTCCTCCTCCTCCTCCTCCTCCTCGTCTTCGCTGGGCTCGTAGAGCGACAGATCGATCGGCTCGGCCATTACGAAGGGCCACGTGTCGATCGATCTGTCGCNCGCCGGAGCCGTACAGGTCGCCCCCCGTCCGATCCCTGTTGATCGTGGCGTACGTGTTGCCGTCGTCGGACGTCGCCGGCTCCTTCTTCTTCTTCGCGTACAGCTCGCTGCTGCTCTTCGGCTTCTTGTAGTAGTCACCGCTGCCGGCGGAACGGTAACTGCCGTTCTGCGACAAGTCACCGGTGCTCGTGTACTTGTCCTCCGACTTGATCTTCTTCTTGAAATCGCCGAAGCGCTCCTTCTTCTTCAGCTCGTAACGCGGCATGCTGCACAGGGGCGACGCGTCGGCCGACAGGTCCTGCTTCGAGTTGTGCATCGGGAACCTCTTGCCGCCGCGGATGTCCTGCTGCTGTGGGCTCCGGTAGAGGTCCTTGCAGTTCTCCACGTTCTCCTTCATCGAGTCCTGCCTGAGATACTCTTGCCCGTAGAGATCCTTGTCGTCGTACCTCTCCTTCCTGTGTTCGTGCTCCTCCAGCTTCGTCCTGGGCGTTCTTTTCAGATGAGCTCGCAACCAGTCCTGCCTCTGAAAGTTGGGATTCGGACAGACGCCACCGGTGGTCTTCTCCTCCCTGAAGTTGTGTTCCACGCTGCTGCTCGAATGATGACCGCCGTAGCTGTTGATCCGCTCTTCCCAACCGGCGTAGACCCGAGTGTAGGTCTTGGACTTCTCCTCTTTCACGAGGGGCTTGTCGAAGGCCGACGATGGCGCGTTCACCGCCGAATCCTCCGAGCCCACCGGCGACTCCGGGAGAAACAGCTGGCAGTCCGACAATGTCAGACCGGAATCTCTCGAGAGCGTCATGGGGTCCCTGCGCGGGTGCTCCGTCAGGTCGAGGCTGTCCAAGGAAAGCCCACCTGCTGCGAGAGAACGGCCTTGTTTCAGCGATGATGATAACATTGCTCGAGATGATTGCTAACAAATAATACGCGAGTATTCAAGAGAATGATTGGAAAGATTCATATATATAGGATTTACAGTGAAGACTATCGGTGCTTTCCTCGGCTCCGCTGTCACTACGCTCTTCTCCGAGTAGCTGCGTGACGCCAGCGCCGAACAAATCTTCGCAATGACGAATCAGCATCTCCGTGATCGTCGGGATCGCTCTGCTTTGATTCACCGACGGATTTGGCGACCAGAGCAGACTCGGGCCACAACAGACGCCAAGGTTACTGGCGCACATGAGATTACGCTTCGATCGCCTCGCCACGTGATGCAGCACGCAGACCAAATGCGAGAGTAGCGTGTGGTTCGCCTTCGGCAACCTGTCCAGGATGCTGAATTTCGATTTACGGTCAGTTCGTGACGAAGAAACGTTCATTTCTATTATATTCAGCTTGCTGTAAAAGGTTCGTCAAATAGGAAACGAAATTATCCGAACATTTTCACGAACAAAATGAATTTTTTTTTTCATATCTAGCAAGAACCTCCTGTTTTCCTTCTAATACTCAAACCTTCTGCAAAAACTTCCGAGCATCTACCTTCCAGACGGTAAACTTTCTATCAGAAATGACATCGCTTGGTACAATTGACCACTCACTTTTTCATCGTTTGCACGGGATGCTGCGTATCCAAGCTCTCCATCCAAAGGGGAAACAGATGGGAGGTCAGAAGGGGATCCGGCAAAGACCTCAGGAAGTCCTTCAGCAAGGCCGCCACCGCTATTATCGGAGCATCCTCGAGACAGCTTGGATCACCGGTGGATTCCAGCTGATCCCGCAGCTCCCTGACGATGCGGACGTTCGCGGACTTGCGGAAGATACCCTGAGTGAAGGGACCTTTCGCGAACAGCTGCTGCAGCATCACTAGCACAGGTTTAGGCAGGCCATTCTCGTCCAGCTTGGACAGGTTCACGCCGAAGAGGCTCGGATTCAGCGACAGAGACCGTCGCAGCAGGTCGGTTATCTTGGACCGGTTGTTCTTCTTCACGGGCGACTTCAGGACCGGCCTGAGGATGAAGTGGCAGGTGTCGTGGACGCTCTTGTTGCAGTGCTCCAGGTCGAAGCCCTCGTCCGCCGAGAGGATGTGCCGCAGACTCGACATCTTGACGGCGAACGGCCGCTCGTGGCCTATCAGCGGGTACGGCGCCTCGTCCGCGGCGGTCTTCGCCCACAGCTGGAAGTGCCCTTGGAGATCCAACAACGGCATCGCCAGGTTCAGGCAGGCCGCCGCCGTCATCTCGGAACCCACCATGATCGACTTGCACTGCGCGTTACAAAGGACTGATTGTTCATCTGACGGAAACTCATTCTCTATCCTAGCAGCGACGAGCACTTACGTGTTCCGTGTTCGTGTCGCTGTCGTGATACAGAACTCGGATGCTCGTGTGCGGCGGCTCCTTCATGCTCTCCTCCCGCACGAGTTCGCTGAGGCGTCCCCACCAGAGATCCCGCGCCGCTGCGGTCCTGCCGAGATAAGGGAAACATTCGGGCTCTCGATTGAAAGAGGGGGGGGGGGGGATCTTGTGGAAAAATTCACTCGACCCACTAGCGACGATTCGCTTTTATTCAATAAAATCGCTTTAATATCCCAAGTCGAAATTTTACTTTTACATTATATCAGGCCCGTTTCTCTCGAACGCCAAAATTTCCACTCGGGATGTAATTTTTATCTTTTCCAACATTTTTATTCTGTTTTAATCTTATTTTCATCTTCTCAAAAGTTCCAATTCTAATTCCAAGTTATATCTGTGCCTGCAATAAAAATAATTAATTAAAATTATTTTTACTCAACACAGAGATCTACTTCCGATACTAACCGGAATTAAATTTGGAATTGAATGAGTCTGTGAATTGGATTAGTTCTAATGCCAATTTCAGTGCCCTCTAATAAATCAAAGAAAAAACTGAGCCTTTGATCGAAGATGCGTGTGAAACAATAATGGCGCCTCTAATGGATGAAGGAAAAGAGCAAGTGTCATTCGACCCCACGCACGATTCTCACGCGAATGAGACGAAAGAGCTTACATGAAAGTCGCCACGACGTTCGTGGTGGGCCATCCGAGGACGAAGCTGGTCTCCGAAGACTTGCTGGTCTCCGCCACGTCCTCTATATGACCCGCGGTGAGCCAGAGTTCGCTCATCCTAACGGTCTGTTTCAACTTGAAGTTCCCGCCACTTCGCGACTTTGCGATCAGCAGGAGATCGGTGAAGAGGAAGAGATGCCTCTCCTGAGACTGCATGCCCTGAAAAACATACGCGGGAACGCTAAGAATTGAATCGTGATATTCGGAAGTTGACGAGACATTTTCATTCAAGTAAAACAGCGTTAATTTGCTACCGGAGAGAATGAATCTTGTCTGATTGACGAAGATGAGATTTCATCTGGACGATTTTGCACGAGTGAAGCAATAATACATGAGCAACATTCCTGCGTACCGTGGTGAATTGAACCGGTGTTTCCAGGAGGAAGGTCCTCGTCGGCGACTTCGTAGGTGGACCGGTACTCGCAAAGAGTATCGAGGAATTCAGAGACTTCTGGGACAACACTCTCGTTAGCTTTCCGGGATTGCCGCTGTTCCTCTTGCGTAAGTTCAGATTCTTCATCTTCTGGAAACAACAAGCAGCCGGATCAGATTGAGCTACCGTCGGCGGCAACATCTTTCGCTAATACGAAAAAATGTATAGAAGCGCGCGCGTAAAATAAAATACGTACAAGAAAGTGCGCGAAAATATGAAGAGAGAAAGCAGCTTTCGAGCGAAGCGTGTACTTTGTCCGGAATGCTGAGTTTGCACGTTTTGAGATTTTGAGGCCCCCCAAACTGACTCTCCCCTGCGGCATTTCGCAGGAGACCCGATTACAAATAGGTCATATGTATATCAAATCGATAATCAAATATTGTTAGAATTGGACGACTTTGATAGCGCTTTCATAAGTGACTTGTTTACTTCTATATATATTATTTGCATTATTAAAGTCAACAATCGTCCAATTTTAACAATATTTTTTCTTCGACTTATATTTTAGGGATTCAATCAATAGTATAACCCAATGAGAACATTATAATGAATCCTGATTAAGGTCCTAATTACCATTACTACGTAACGTTACACGACGGACCCGGCAACCAGTTAAGGTCAACATGAGCTGGACCAATTTCTAGTCAGGGAGCTCCAGTCTCCTTTCAGTCAACGTCGGCGAACCCCAGGTCTACGCGCATTAGAATTTCGCCGTGTACACACTCAGCTTCGTCTTTGTCTTGTTCAGACAAGCAACACGCGTTGCAAAGAGAATTAACAGTTACGTCCGAAAAATGTCACTACCAAATTTGGCCGGTTAAACGACGCTCTCTCGAAGACGAGGGAAGGAAAGGACGCGAAGGGGAACACATGGGTGGTGTTTCTCGACGGACAGAGCGACTGACTGATTTACACGGGCCGGCTTATTAGATTCTTTCTAACGTGTCCTAACATTCTCCATTCTTCTTGTTCTTTCACCTTACGAAATCAATCTTCTGGGTGACGCCGCCGCCATATCCCACCTCATTGTATCGCTGCGGACGGACGACGCGTTGTTACGAGGTATAATAAACCGCGGGACCACAACGGTCGTGTTCCAAACACGCCAAAGATGGATTATCCGCTATTACTTACGGAATTACAGTGCATCGCCCGTAGGAACGAGCGTGGTCTTTTCGACCGGCGACAACGGTACGCCGATGTTTTATTGGGTAAAAGTGCTCTATTCGTGTTTGAAACACGTCCGTGTAAAATGTACTTCGGAGAGCGGAGGTGAGAAATGACAAAGAACGTTAAACGATAAACGGTACTCTCGCCGCGATAAGAACACGCTCTCTTGTAATTAGAATTTACTGGGAGCGCCACTTTCAATGTTACTGCTTGGCAGTAAAAGAGTTTTACTCAATAAAGAAGATTGTTGCGTGTTGTCATTATTACTATTGCTGTTATTACTATTACCGTTTCTATCGCTGTGACTATTACTATTGCTATCGCTATAATTTTTACCATTATTATTATTACACTAAGCAGCACATTTCGTACTATAAATTATATCCTCTTTGAATTTGAATTTTTTCTATTTATGTGTTAAAAAAGAACGCGGCAATAAAAAGAATGATTTAGCTATAATTCAAGAAATAAAGGCTATATTTTAATTTTCGTAAATTAATGGTACCAGGTTTATGAAAATAAAACAAGAGAAGATTTTTTTTTTATTATAAATTCTTATTTTTATACTTCATACCGTCAGAAAAGCCAAAATTTCATTTAATGCTATATCATTATTACTACTTTGGCTCTTTTCATTACTATTATTATTATTTACAGTCGTTTCTCTCAGAGAGATTTTTCTACGAGGCACTTTCGCCGTCCGGTTCGACCGTTATTATGTTCGGAAAAAAAAAATGTAGCGCGCGCTTACTTTCTACGAAAATAATATAAATATCGTTCTATTGTTGATCCAAGCGTGTTGCCAAGCCTCGGTGACACAGTTTCTATTCCGCTCCCACTTTTTGCGGGAGCAGAAAGCGAGCACTACTATTGAACGGTACGCGTGAATTTCACCGTTCGCGGCAGCTGTTGCTGCGGCGGCGAGTTACGAGTGAAAATAGCGGGGAGAAATTATCGGCACGCTTGCGTCCGGATGATACAAACGTGGGAAGGAAGTGCGTACACGCCGCTCTAATGCCTGCGACACGCGAGTCGATGCACTTTCCACGGACGTAGAAAAAATGAGATGCGTCTAAACAACCGTGAGAAAGGTTGAATTGTGCGACGCATTGTGTGGAATGTACCGTTGTCGGGCAGTCGCGGTAAATGTTCGCTCTCTTATGCGAACGAGAGCGGAATGTCGCGTGTATTACGAGCGTTTCTACTCTGTCGTCGTAATTTGTAATCAAAACTTCCAGCCATCTCTTTGATAGGTATCAAACCATTTGGTATCTATCGCAATTAGCGCGAATAATAATTTATTGCTACTTAATATCGAGTCAATCAAAAAGTTCGATTCGATTCAAGCGCAATTTGTTAAAATATAAACGCTCCACGTAACAATAATAATACTATATATAATATATATAATTTTTACACCTGTAGCGTAGAAAGTAATCGGGCAGGGCAAACGGAAAATCGGACCGAACTTTTTCGACCGATCCGACGAATCTCGCGAAATGTTCATATTAATAAAAAGCATCATCGTACCGTTGTTTGGACATCTCGCTCATGTAATCGCAGGTTGTCGCCGGGGAATAGCTCTTGGATGCGATGAAGGTCGCCCTCGAGCTGTCCCCGCTGGAGAACCTCGCCGCTACTGACGAAGTCGTTCTCGAGCAGGTTCCTCGCTTCCTGTCCCAGGTACCTCTCGTAATCGGCGAGCCTCTGGACCTGAGAATGAAACGTTAGGAAATAGGAAAACTCCTTGCGTCACAGAAAGAAGCATCGATGAATTACATTACGTATCGATCACGCCGGCCGGCTCGCGAAATCGCCGTGTCTTACGCGAGCGAAAAGCACGGAAGGGACACGTCGTGCCGTGATTGCATCGAGACGGCTCGCGTAACCACGACGATTTTCGCGCTTAATACGGCGTTTCCAATGGTATGAAAGCGGGAAAGAGGGAAGCATCGCGATTGACTTTCCCCGACTGTATGGACGATTCACTACGATGCGATTACGCGTGCAATAACCGGCGATCGTGTAATATCTCGCGGCCGTGAACGCGGAAGCAAAGAGGAAACACCGACCGGATCGACCAGGACAATTATCTACACGGCTTATCTTGATCATCGCGATCGATCATAGCATTGAAATCGAAAATAGAGTGCACACCGACGATATCGAATGATAAAGCTCGAGTCATTCTCGCTGCAAATTGTCATTGGCATTAAAACTGAGTAATTAATAATGTGAATGTATATCCAAGCACGATACGAAATAAGGCTAATGAATTTTGATCCAGTAAATGTGAAAGTTTCATTGAAGCTTAGAGCACTTCCTGATGGATATCGAGATGGAACAACGTCGCGCAGCCTCTCGAAGAGGCGCCGAGGAAACGTCTTCACGCGAATTTTATGAGAGCCACGACGATGAAATCGCGTTCGAAATTTCGCCGCCGGCGGTGTTTCTTCGCGGTAACTGCGAATTAATTCAGTGCGCGTTTAAGAGCCATCAACGAACGAACCAGTCAGCCAGCCGCTCCCCGCATGTTTCCCTGAGCACAGTAACTACCTGCCACGTTATGATAATTAAGGAGAGAATAGGCCATTCATAGAACGTCTCGTCTCGTGTCGTTAGTTAGCCCGTCAGTTAGGATAATCAAATGTCACTGACGAATTTTGACGGACCTGATAAGACACGTCAGAGTGTGAGTTGATTCGCGTTAATTATTGTGAGACTGGAGGCTCGCTGACATATTGCAAAAAAAAAAAATCAAGCAGAAGAAACCGAGTCTTACGTAAATTTTGTTGCATAAACTGCAGGTGGACCGAATGAAGATTACGTCAATAATCTGTCGTGTAAAAATGTACATTGAACCGTTTTTAATTTGGTGTTTTAGGAAGATGCCGGTACTTACTTTAGTGAAGTAACGTCAAATGCTAACGTGCCCGGAGAAAGTCCGAGAGATCGACGAGACATAATATGAAGAAAGCTTCCAGACGGATTTTCGTTGACGATTCTTTTTTCATTCCCACCGAAATGATAATATCGATACGACACGATATGTTCTTAAAAACGCGACGGAGAGAAAAAAAGAGAGTAAGAAGAGTCTACACACAGAGAAAAGTATCATTCTACTGCAAAGGATTCCTCAGTTTACTTTCCTTCTTTTAAGTAATAGTTATCTTCAATAAAGAATATTTTCTTAATAATAGTCTTACGATATACTCATCAGAAATTTGAGAAAAATTCATCATCGCGTACTCGAAAGAATTTTTTATCCTCTTTTCAAGGATATTATAAACTCAAAGGAAAGTTTAAGAAATTGATTAATCAAAGGAAAGCTAAATTCGGTTAATTTGAATAAGTAAGCCGAAATTTGTTTTAATTTAATATTCTTGATTGAAGTATCAAACTTAATTGGGACTCCGAATATAATTTGAATAAATTCGATGTTTATGATTGAATATATGATACGTTTGTGGATACATAAATTTATGAATTACTCGAAATAATAACATTTACATGAACTATTAATTACGTGATGATGTCACTGAAATTATATGTATAAATTTTTTTAATTACTATGTGTATTACTATTAACTACATATTTATAGCATCACAAATATAATATATATAAAATTACATGTATTTTTGAGGGATGCCAATTATATCTTCTCGTTGTTTCTAACAAAAAAGTAGCATGAATATCATTAACATTATAGCAACACCTACTAGACGGTTTTTCTGATTATAATTCTTTCAGCATGTGATTACAGCTACAAATGAATTTTCCCAGTGTATCGTTTCGATTAAAGTTTCGTCGTGCGAAAGAATGACGAATACACCCGCTCTTCGTTTCTCCCCGCGCGCGTCTCAACAAAGTTTCCACGAACGTGTGCGTTCTCGCGTTAAATGCCACCACGCGCGGTACTACTCATTATCGTCGTGGCGTTTTCTCTTTCGCGTGTGATTTCCATACGACGGTAGGACGTGACTCGTAGTTATCGATGTGTTCTCAGATTCGTATGTGTTGTATGCATTCGCAGAGCGGGGAATTTAGCGTGGTCTTCTTCGCCCCTCCGTCTCTTTTTTTCTTTCGTTCCCTTTCCCATCGGCATTGTTCAAACCCGCCACGTGACTTTTACGCGTTATTCTCGCCGGCACCGTTTCCGAGCCCCTTTTCGCACACTTTCACCGTGTCGCGTCGATTATTACACGTTCCTAGGAACGGTTCGAACGTGGCGCTCACGACAAGCCGTAACCGATCGCGGACGATCCGGTCGATGCGACGTCACTTCGATCCGGTTTGAAAAAGAAAGCTCGAAGCAGCTCGTCTTTTACGAGGGACAATGAATAATAATGATGAATACTGATTTTTCATCGGAGCCTGCTCTCTCAAGGTCCCCTCATTAATGCGAATCGGCGGTCGTCGCCTTTATGTAGAAAGGAAAGAAAACGTTATCTCGTTATAGTCTGTTCTGGGCCGTACACAGTGAGCGCTGAAAGTACTTTTCAAATTCTCAAGTAAAAGTAAACGTTACATAACGTTCATGGGAGAAAAAGTCGGACGGTCGGACACGTTTAATGACAAACTTTACCGTCAGGATGTCCAGACACTATCGCAACACTTTTCCACCTCGATGAACATCCGAACGCATCCAGCAGGAAAATAGATTTTCTGAGAATTACTACATAGAGAGCAAATGAATATTTCATAATTCAATAAATAGGATTGTTTGACTTCTCAAACAGTAATCTTTACGTCAAATAACATATTTCTTTTATATTTTCATTGAAATCAAATGATATTTGATTATGTCGTTTATATTAAACAAATCAAACAAAGACGTATACTAAATCGAAAGAAACCTTTTGCTCTGTCTGCCAAAAAAATAAATCCAACCGATGGAAAAGGATCCGTCCAGGCCATGCCCGCGAGTGGATGTGAGCTGAAAAATGAAAGAAAGAGAGGACACGATTTGAATATCGCGCGATCGATTCTACAAATCGTATGTGGCCTGTATCCGCCTTTGGATATATAGACACCTAAAAGGCTATATACCGTTAGCGAGACTCGACCCCGCGAGGAGGCTACCTCGGGCTCTCGCGCGCTATTTCTCAACACCGGGTACGTTTACACCTCACGTGTCTGTAATATCGCGAACCCTTCAGAGCTTCCTCGCGGCATCCTGACGCATGCAACGGTAAATCGCGGAGCGAAATTCCAGCGTGACGGAGCGCGCTATTCTTCCCGAACACGCGTGGAATGCCGCGAGAACGGACGATTAAAGTGAGCCCTTCGCTCGCTCCAGAATGGAATTAAATCGCGACACTTTTGTCTCGATAAACTGACGTTCGATAGGAACAATTCCCGCGAATCCCGCGCGTCGCAACTCTCACGCTCAATAGCGTTGCCGCGGTTGAATTTTTATTACGATTGCGGTAATACCGAAGTGTACGCATTGGAATGGCGCGCGGAATGTAACTTTTCCATCGGCATCTCGGGAGCGGAGAGCAGAATGCACGTCCCGAAACGACCTCCCGCCGAGATATACCACCCTCAGAGGCGATATTACCCGGCTGTTTAATTACATCAAGCGCGGAAGGAACGGGAGTTCGGTGAAGATATTCATTCGTAGCTTCGGTCGGTCGTTTGTCAGGCCGATATTCGAGTATGCTGATAAATCTGAGTGTCGGATTAAACACTCCTCCTACGGGGTGAACTCCCGTATACCGAGGATACACACGGGACACCCTGTACATGTGGACAAATTGCCGCGGCGTGACGCAACGTCGAGAACACCTGTCTCGACGTTACAAAACACCCGCTTCCTGGAGCAGCGCTTTACGCACGTGCATCTATTGACGTAGAGCGCCGGATCGAAATTGATATATCGGCGCATGCAAATGGGACCGAGGTGCCAGAAAAATCGACGCATTGGTGGTCTCTTCCCCAGTGGGAGAATTTCCCAGAAAATTAATAATTATTTGATTCCAACAGAATTCTCAGGAGGATCACGCTTGGCCTTCCAGCGAGCACTCGTGATATATCACGTAACCCGGTAGCGCCGCCGTTCTCCGCGACAAGCGCGATCTATAGCGAGGCGGATCACGAAAATATCCGCGCTCACCGATAATTGCCATCTGCCCACACATTCACCGTTCGCGCGCGTAACCACCGTAAAAGGTGGGAAGAATCCCAGGAAGAATCTCTCCGCGAGACGAAGCGGGATCTCGACGGCTGCTTCTTCCTCCTCGTGACGCGCCGCTTGAATGCCGATCTCGACGAGGAGAGATCCTTTCATCTCTCGCTGCTATCACCCGGAATTATCCCCGTAAATTGCCGCGATCCGGCGCGATTATTGCACACGCCGCGGGAGATCCTCTCTTTCTATCCAGATTAGCGGAGCCGCGTCCTTTCGCGCCGGTGTCGGCGCGCCCGTGACGACGGCATTATCGACGCAAACGCGACAGTGATGAATCGAATTCTCCTCGTGGCATCATCCGAGAGAGAGAGAAAGAGAGAGAGAGTCACGGGAATTCGATTGCCCGCGTCGTTGCCGAAAGGCGGCAGGCTTCATTATACGCTGAGATGATGACGCTCATAGTGCCTTTGTCATTTTCGCGACGGTTCTCGTTATTCCAGACGAGGTGTCATCGTGATTGTTATCAATTTGAAATTCAAATAAAAATTCTCCGTCTTGCTCTCAAAGGATGATAATTCG